ATACAGCTGTCAACATAATGGGCAAGTATGGTGATGAACAGTGTAATGGAGTATTGTCTGGAGCACAAAGTATTTTAAATGCCAACTGAGATCAAGAACTCACATTATGAAACACAAGGAAGTGAAATGAAGAATATTACAGAAATAAATGGATTTTCTTACAACCAGGCTCACCATTGACCCAAGGCAGGATATAGCAGAGGTTAACTTCACGTTTTTGAATGTCTGTCTCAAATGTTGCGTGCCTCCTGCTTTTGGCATAGAATTAACCTGGAGTTTACAGCCTGCAAGCTGAAGCAGCTCCACCTCTCCAACCTAAGACCGGACATGCACCAAATATGCAGCATCAATTCTTGTGCACACAGCTTCAATAGGAAGGGGGGTCAAAGATTACAAGAGCTTTCACTCTACCCCACAGAGGATTAACACAGCTTAACGTGTGAGCATTTCTTCCTGTACTTCAGTACATGTTTGGCCACCAAACAACCTGACCGGCGCATTCCTGCCCAGCCTCTATCCCACAAAAATGTATGCTGCTTTGTACACATACACAGCCCTCTCCAGCAATGTACGAGCCTTTGGTCACTCTCTGCAGCAACTAGCAGTCAAGCCAAATTCCAGAAAAAACAAACAGTTTACATTGGAATTTCCTGGAATGCAGAGGAGGAGGAGCGGACAGCAGCACTGCCTACATGCATACATTGCCACACACGGATCACAGCAATCATGCAAGCACAGCACGAGGATGTTAAATGTAGAGCTAATGCAGAACTATGCATTTGACGAACACAGAGGGCACTCTTCTGCAACATGAAACGGACTAGCAATGTGAAAACTGCAAATAGCCAGCCTTTCCAATTGTTTCTCTCTTTATCTTTTCCACATGCACTTTTATTCTGCAAAAGCCTTCGGTGTTGTTTCTAAGTAGTCTGCTATTTTACCCATCACACCAGCTCACTACACCAAGAAGCATTAGCCATGTAACCAATGAGCATTTATGCGGTCTTCTTGCCTTTCTGTATATTTGCACAGCCCCACAGTGGCTGGGGCAGGGGATTAAAGCAACATGAAGCAGCATGCAGTGCAACAGCAACTTTCAATAAGCTAATTCTTACTCCTCCTATTCAGTCACATCCCCAATACAAGTCAGAAGTCTTTTTCAGAAGCCATGTTTGAAAATGTCAGTCAGTTATTACAGCAAACAAAGCAACAAGAAAGGGTGATTCAACAGGCCAGCATACAAAGGGCATGCACAGGGGGTGAGGCACACCCTGCTCTTTTCCAAGTTGTGCAGATGCTCTAGACATCCTCATCTCGTTCAGAATCGTGGATAAAAGCAGGCCGCCTGTCCGGGGTCTCAGGTTCTCTTCCCTCCAGCTGCACTTCAGACTGAAGGAAAATCACTTTCTCCTGGGAGGAAAGCCAATTCCATACAGCACCAGAAACTCTGGCACATTCACAGCAGCCTTGCAAAGACTTTCACAGAAGGAGGACAAGAGGAGAAGACAATCTCCTTCGGATGCGCCATAGATCTAGAACGGGTCCTGGCAGCTGCACTCTTTTACTTTAAGAAGCCATGCTGGTTGTAGAGCTGGTCTGCCTAATATCCGTCTGTATTGAAAATGCACATTGTCAGCACTCTGGCAAGAGCACAGCAAGCCAGGAGAGGAGTCCGTCCAGCTGCTGGCCAAGGTCTGGCCCCAGGCTCAACGAGCATAAACACTTCTTCCTTGGAAGAGGTCCATTCGTTTTCAAGATGCAACAATATTTACTTTAACGTTCAACTCGAACAAAAACGAGCGCTTAGCAAAGCATGAGTTGGAAATACGCGACGTACAGCAACCATCTTCTGAAAATGGTCTACTGCACACCTCTTCAATTAAAAGCAAAGAAGTGCAAACTGTAGCATGAACACATGAGACAGACATTGGGAGACTACTTACCCACTGTGTGGCCCATGAGTCTCTGTGAGTTTTGTGCCTGCTTGGGCTTCTAAGAACTGCAAAAACTGGACAGAAATCTTTTTGCAAAAAGGGGTTTGCCACCCTGGTCTAGTTAGTCCAAGCAATTCGATCAATTATGGGATGATGGGTTCTTGTGGGCTGGAGGGTATTCATAGTTTTGTTCCAAAAACTCAAAATTATTTATTTATTTAAGAAATCACTAAGCTAATTGTTCAAAATGAAATTATTCCAAGTCATTAGAAACGGATGATTCAACGGTTCCCTACAAAACAAGCTACACCAAAGCTTCTCCGTTTTTTACAGCATTTCAATCCGGAGTTCTACTGTGCCATCAGAGAAAAAGGTCAGCCTGACCGATACTTAACAGGCTCTGGCCCCAGCAGGGCGGGGCTGTGGGAGCTGGAGGTAGTGTCTCCATGGGGGGGACAGTCAGTCAGAGGGGGGGGCAAAGAGCTGCTTGCAATGTCCTTCAGTGGTTTAGCGCCCCCCAGCCTGTATCATTTTAATGCAAGTCAGATGTCTGGCAACTGCTCCACACTTCTTCCAGCACAAAGCAAACCAAGCCATGACAATGGAGCGAACTGCCCAATTGTGTGCCCTTTCCGTCTCGGTATTTACACAAAGGTCAGTCGAACAAGTGGTCTTTCAGCAATACAATGGGCAATCGTAACATTCAGGTCAGGCACAAAGATAAACAGTTCTTTATGGTGCGACCACTAGCACACTGACCATCAAAACCTATGACTGCGGAGCAGGCTGCTCCAATAACACTGGATACAAGCCACAAATGATTTTATGTGCATGTGCCCAAAAGTCTATGATGATTTCTGTCTAGACAACTGATTACTGTTCGAAAAGCAGTACAGACCAGCAAGAGCCACAAGCGAGAGAAGTTCTCAAAGCCTGTAGTGTTTCTCATTTACCGACCAACAGAAGGAATTCATGACAGTATTATCTTTCCTACGCCTTGTTAAATTAAGACAGGTTTACTTTTGGAGTAATTGTACTAAAGCACGACTCAGTCGCTGGACCGAGTAGATGACAGAACTGCTGTCAAACACAGAAACTGCAGGCAGCATCGAGGAGGAGCGGTCAGGGCTCTGGATTCCGATCCCAGATTCCCGGGGGGCTGCGGGTTCGAGCTCCAGGTGGGACACTGTGGTTCTAACCCCGAGCGAGGTTTTTCGCTCACACACGTCTGGCTGTGCAAAGCGGTCTCCAGGTCATCACTGTAACTAAGCATTTGTTCCCAACTGACGTAGCTGGCAAAACAACATGATAAAAATAATCTCTCAAAGAGCAGTAAGCTGTAAGTGGTGGAGCAGGACAGGTAAGACAAGGATGGGAGGTGATTTTCATTGCTTTGGAGTTGCTGCCCAATTCCAGCTGTCGACCACTGTGAATACCCAAGCCCCCCCTCTCACATGCACAGCCCCACCTCTCTGGCTCTTCCTATGCACCACGCAAGTATTTTGTATGCGAAATAAAAACACTTTATTCATAAAGAAAGTTGCACAACTTGTGTCTGCGAGTGCTTCTTAGTTGTTCATGCACTGGTTTCAGTCTCCATTTTTCCCCGGGCAAGCTATTTTCATACGTGTGTACACATGCGGTATATAAAGCATTGATTGCACAGGGAAGGCGTGTCTGATGTAGCACCGATTTAGAAAAATACCCATCACAATCCTAATCGCACCGTTCCGCGTCCCTGACTTTGTTGAGCTCAGAAACGAGAACTCTTGGAAGCTAACCTTTCCTTTCTGTACCAGCAGGACTCACTCTCACGCAGTCACCAAAGTTGTGCATGAGAATGTCAAGAGGCCAACGAAATGAGGGCAAAATCCTCACGCTGAACCAGTATGCACCTGGCCTTGCTCAAAGGGCAGACAGAGGCTTTGTTAAAACCGATGGGCTACTCGAATGAAGTCATTGGCCCACCAATGGAATGACACAATAAAAGTATCTTCTAACTATCACCCCAGCAGTCAGATACAATACCCTTTCCCACTGAACACGCCCCCAAACCATCCCTTCATGCCCTTGCTTACTGTATCTAGACAGACCGCCGTATAATCCCCCCATTTTTCAAACAGCTCTTGCCACCATCCAACACATTTACTGGGCTGTACTTAATGGGTCATTTGCTGGAATACTGAAGCTAACAGGGGGCCTATTAACTTTACAGCCTCTTCGTTTTTTAAAGACATCATGGGCTTTTCGCCCCGCAGGCTTTCAGCTCCGACTTTACTCTTTATCATCATCACAGCTGATGGATGCCAGGCGCATATCGGCGTAGAGGCTCCACACACCAGAGATGTTTCTTCCCCTATTAGAAATGACTCGGGCTGCATCAGGATGAACGACATCTTTCAAGCGCGCTCTCCCTGCCTTGCAGATCTGTTCCTCTTTACACGAGGACTGACGGGGCAGTCCAGTCAACTGGATCTGGGTCCTGGATTTTTACACGAGGTGACAGAAGAATGACAAAGCAATCTACAGAGAGGGCATCTCTGATGGGGAGAGCCTAAAAACAGCGCCTCTGTTGGCTTCCAGTAAGCTGGGTTAAAACTCATTTTTGATAATCAATGTGAGGAACTCGGAACAACCTTTTCAGCCATACAGTCGCTAGAGTAGCAGCGCCTCGTTGTTTTAATCAAATCAGGAGAAGTAAAAACACCGTAAGGTTGCGGATATTCTCTCATGTGCAAGGACGTCAACTCAGTACAAAGTACACGCTGGAGGCGGTTAACCATTCAGTTTTCGGGGCTGGGACGAGGTATTGCAAATCCTGTAATGGGCCAAAAAAACAGCTTCGGGAATTTTCCGAGCCGGGACACAGCCATGTCATCCCGCCAAACAAAAATAAAAGCTATCGCGGTCACCCTTTGTTGTGAAGCGGAATCAAAAGCAGTCTGGCGTAAAGACAACAAAGGGACTAGTCGTTGCTGAAGTAAAGCACCAGGAGAAAGGGTTTAAATTAAGTGATGCAGCCTCCCAAGGAGCGCGTCTTGGGCAAGAACCAGACGGCTTTTGTACCTCAAGTAAAACAGGCGAGCTCGCTCAGACACTCCCTTATCCGAGACTGTGCCACGGCAAGGCAAACGCGAGTTGCAGTACTGTGTGTGCACCTATCCGAGGGACAGAAAATCCTTTGTATTAAATACAAATTAACACAGGAACAAAGATCGAGAGTCCGCTCGCGTATCGGTCTTTTCATTGGCTCTGCAAGTATTACAAGCTTTAAATACAATAAAAACCTACCCAGGTATTGAAACAGTCTACTTACCATGCTATTTCTGTATTACAAAAATCCTGTAAATTCTCCAATCCATGATACATGATAAGAATTATACTGTAACGAATTACACAGCTTACGCAACATATCGCTATGCAGCGAAGTTTAGTTTCCACCTACAACTACAATGGTTAACTTACCGTCATGCGATTCTTTTTATCTCCACAAAATCCACACCGTTTTAATTATTCTGTAACGATCCCCAGTTCGCTGATCTCGGGTTGCGACTGTGGTTCTTTTAGTACACTAGCCTGTATATTGTATTGTTTGTTTTTATTTGATCCGGCAAGCGCAAAAAAAGACCCAAGTTTGTTCAGGCGCTTGGTAACACATCTGCTCGCTTCTTTTTTTTTTTTATCCTTTACTGACTCGCGGATAACCTCTAAGGTTTACCACGATCCGAAGAAGGCGTTTGAGAGGCACATGATTTTCGTTACAACGTTTAAGGCGTTATTTTTTCGGTGCGTCTTCTGCTGAATCAACTACTACAGCACCTCAACTCAAGACCCTTCCCGGTCTGTCTCGCACTGCAGCTGCGTGATGGCGCTATCAGCGAACTGTTCCTCCTCCTCTCTCCACTCAGAGCGTTTCACCACCCTCTCTACACGTTTAAAGCGACAGGACGCTATTAAGATCACAGGATAAGACAACCGGGTGGCAATTTATAGTTTTGGACACGGTCACGGACAATACTGGGTGGTTTATTTTAATGGAGTGGGCCTTGGTGTTTCTACCCTATTTATTTACGGGTATGTTGGCGACAAGAAAAAGAGAAGTCCGAAAAGTTTAATGTCGACGCGTTTTTAGGTGTAACTTTGTTTTAGACTTTGCTCTTTGGAGCCGCTCCTGCGTTATTTTCAAGTGTAAAAACACGGACGGTCGCAGTGACTGTTGTGACTGTGACACAACCTTGAACCAAGAACCCCTCTTGTGCTGTAAAAAAAAAAACCAGCAGAAGCAGTTTTCTGCTTTTACAGGCCTATTAAAATTCCGCACTATTTCCCAACGCATTCTTTCAAAAGTTCAAATTATTTAGCGTTTTTTAAAAGAAAACATGTGCTCTCGAGACTCGTGAACCCTATAATTACATCAATAATATAATTACAGCTCCCTCTGAAGAATTTGCGCATAATGGAATTAAAGCCCGTGTTTAAAGTCGAACCGCTGATTATTTCCTGTCCTGCCTCAGCTCTGAGATCCCCTCCCCCGCCGTGGTTCGGTCTGTGCGCTTTGTCTTCCGGTCCAAATAATTAGAGTGACCCCTTTATCCCGAAAAAGGGACATCTTTAACCCTGTAGTCCCACGCCTAGGTTGCCCTCCCCGATGAAATCAAGCATGCGCCGTGAAGAAACACATTACATAGATGGACGTCCAGTGTAATTTCCGATAATTGTATTCTTAAAAAAAAAAACTTTACTTCGAAATACCACACGGGCTCGACTGCGTGATGACTTTCCAAGTAGGCACGGGAATCCTAAACTCACCTAACCCGTTCTACCTTATTCCAGCCTCATTCTTCAAGTTTATTTTTATACAAATATCAAATGATCAAAACACAGAATGCATGACGCCTGTAGGTGCGGCAGCACACGAGAGTACCTGGTGGTTTACCTGGTGTAATCTCTAATGTAGAAGTGACGCTTTTTGTGTTGTGAACGTAATTTTCAATACCAAGGCAATACCCCCAGTTTCTTGCTTGACTTCATTTAATTAACAACGTTTCTAATCCATTACATCGTCTTCTAACCAGTGCTGCTTGCTGTTATCAGTCTCCCGTTTCACAGAGAAATCCGGCCTTCGCCCATGACCCCAGAACGCCGTAATTCCACAGTTTAAAATCCTAATCTCTCCCTGACTAGCAAAACTCATCTAAAGCAGAAATCATTCAAAGCCGCCCCACACCTGAAGACCGAAACCGCATCAAGATCATGAAACAACCTGCAAACCTTCAGTTTGATCAGATAATTCTGACCACAACATATTTTATCCTCAGTCGGTCTCGGATAACAGCCGAGGCCATTCGCTTCGGTGTGTGATATGAACTCCGCGATCACACTTCATTCTATAACCTTGTCAGAAAAAACGATGCCTTGAGTGCACGTTAATTCTGCTTAAAACACCGTTTACAGGTTATTATTTTTCAGCGTTTTATACACAGCATTCAATATATGAGCATTCTTTCATTAAGTGGAAAAAAACTGCCTTGTTTTGTATCCTAGTTTAATTTGAAAAGGTTGAATCATTCTAGTAGGTTTCAACATATGATGTAATACCACGAAAATAAAACAATGACAAACCAATAAAAGCAAAATAGCAGTAACAGGACCTTAAGCATATTTCCCTGACCGCAGACCTCAAAAAGAGCATGATTTAATGTTTTTTCCAAATCCTTAAAATAACATTACCTAACAGCTAGCCACTCTGCACACGTTAATTAAAACCCTAGTTCTGATGCGTATTAACTGGCAGATTAGGTTCCCTTAAAACCCAAGGAACTGGCAGATTAGGTTCCCTTAAAATACGCGTGCACCCTCATCTGTCGCGCTACGAGGAGTGAAATAATTGAGCGTTAGTGGGAGGTCTGCTGGGATTCAGTGAACTGGACTGGTGTAAAATGGGGAGCTTTATTATAATTGGAAAGGAAAAGTGAAACACCTGCGAATTCCTGTTTTTGAAATCACTACCACATTTTCTACTGTCATGCAGGTTCACTTCCTGCAATCGTACTGCGTTTTCTTTAGTAACCTGGACAACGATGAACGATATCTGTCTGCTCTAATAGACTATCACCTTTACACGCGCATAATAATTTCTCTTTCTTTATCGCGATCTAACTTTGCACTAACAGCAAACAGCTTTCTAACACTACACAGTCTGTACGCCACATGGTATAAACGGCAACAATAAATAATTTCACTTTTAACTTGGAACACCTCACCACACAAACCCTAGGAGACTCCAGGACAAGACTTGTTACTATTGAGTCCTCACCAGGAAAGTCAGTGACATGGTGCTGGAGGTCCGCGCTCATCCAGCAAAGCAAACTTTCATTTTCACGAATCGCTGTCATGACACGTTGTCATTTTTGCAACGTGCTATCGTCGTGACATGCTGGCCTTGTCGCAACTATCCTTGACGCAAATCTGGAGACAGAGGCGCACTGTTGCTATATGGGCCCGCCGCTGTCACTTTCACTATCCGTTTTACTGCTCTCCAAGTCGTCACGCTGTGCCGTGTTTGTGAACACCAGGGAATGAAATACTTTTTTTTTCTGATTTCGGAGAGGTTTCTGTCTTTGATTAAAATGATTCCCCCTACTCCTCTACTGGCCCGATGGGTCTTTGGAGAGCTCTCTGTCTCAAGAGTGCATCACTCTTAGTCACTGTTCCTGAATCAAGCTACACAGCTGATATATGCAAGCCCTGTGCTCTGTAAATCATGGCGTGGAAATAATTGAGCATCAGACTGGGAGATCAGCTGGGATTCAGTGAACCGAACAGAGAGGTCAAAGGCAAAAAACATTAGGCTGATCGTAGCTTAGGACAGTCTGTAGCAGTTATCGTAGCACTGGCCAGATGGTCACTGGCATACCCATTACTGGGTACAACAGATCACTCTTTCATCCAGACGTGCACCAAGGTTTATGAGTTTTTGGGGACACGCAGACCAGTTCTTATGTGATGCATATAAGAGGTCTTTATTGTATGTATGCAGGCGTCTATTTGAAAATGATGTTGAGTTAGAACAGTGATTAGGCTTACAGTCCAAATTCATATTTGATCGTGTTCTGAACTGTCATGGATTTTCAGGCTCGGATTACACAATTTTACGAAAGGAGGCAATAAACACCATGGCACACACTCAGATATACACTTTTTTCTTTATTAAAAAAGTTTATTTCATAGTCAGTTCATCTTCAAATCCTTCTTCTATCTGCAATTCCGCTCAGAGCAGCAGGGCACGTCAGAGTTCCAAAGCACCTCCAAGAGATTTGTAATATAATAAAGAATATATTTGATCACACATATTACATCCTTGGCACTAAACACTCAATATGTTACAATACTTGTGGAAGGAGCCTCAAACTCACAATATCCAAGCTCCCAAGTTCAGCATTGGTATCTTTCAGCAGCTTGATTTGGCTGTCAACACCCCACAAAGTGATAAAAATCAAATGGAGCAAAATCAAGCCACCACTGTTGAATTTTACAAAGGTCACATTTTCAATTGGACGTGGATTCTTAAATAATCCTACCACTCAGAAATTCTGAGAGGCATCTACTGAATCAGTCAAATGTAATTCAAAATACTATGTAGGTATTAAATTAGTCTCCGTGACCAAACTCTACTGCAGAATTTGAAATGAAAAGTGAAATACAATCAACAGTGTTTTTGGAGGCTCCTACAAAGTCGGTGCTTGGGTATTCTGAATATTTCAAAATGAAAACTCAGTCCCGGATGACAGAGATAATTGAATAAATTCCACACAGCACAATTTAAAGGAACTATTTTTTACAACTGAGAGAAGGTAGGCTATTAGATAACAACTTTTAATTTTTTTATTATCTTAAATCTTTAATAAAAATATAGATTTGTTCCCTTCATTTACTTTTAAATACTTTTTTGTCCATCGACTAACTTTGGATTCACAATCAAGCGCATGTTAAAGGAATGGAGTGATGTACTTCATTTACATTGGTCAAACATGATGAACGAGGACTTCCAGAAGAAAGAATAGTCTATGAAAAGCCAGACATGTGTGGCCACACTTGGCCTCTTTTGGAAATAAAAACATGAGAAAACGCCTCTCACACAGGTTTGCACACGACTATAAAAACACTCCTTGAGATTTATTATTAAAGAGGCAAGGAGCACCTCAGAACGAAATCTCCAAGGGAAAAACAACGAAATAATATCAAACCACAAATCCAAACAAAATAAAGATCCTTACACGTGTGATTTTAATGAGCTTCAAACAGCCGAGAAAAAAACATTTGCTTGCAAACGTCATTACAATCACATTGTCCTTTGCCGGATTTTCCCATGTTGTCTTTCAATATTCGGACTTGTGGACTTTCTCTACTGCATTCCACCTTTCAGCACCTATCCAAGGGCTTATGGGAACAGTGACTGAAGTTGGGATTAGGCTCAAACTCTCCCAATTTCAACAGCCCTTTCTCAGGAAGAAAGAGTGTTTCCCAACCAAGCCCTGCTTGTTTTTAATGGACTGCAAGGAAATCATGAACACAAGGTCAGAACAAGGGGGCAAATGTCTGGCAATTGCCCCTGGGCTTCCGCTACACCCCTTCACTTGTGGTGAAAGAGGAAGTACAACCAATGTGCTAATGGCTTTACAGTGGGTTAACAAATTAACCCCTTGTAGAGCACAGCAGGACGATAAACTGGAAGCATAATTCCTTTCAGTCGCCGATATCCCACAGCTTGCCTTCCCAATCCTTTCCTAGCATGACGAACTCTGACAACGTGAAACCAGACTGAGCTCCGAGGACAGGACTGGGCTGCAATGCTGACAGAAAGACGGACACATTATCATACAGATTCTGCATTTAGATCAGTGCCTGGGGAGGCTTTCTGCAGTACAGAGAAGTGGGCAGATATACTAACTATGCAGGCAACAAAAGAATGGGACAGCAGTGTTTGTGATGTGCCTGTGACTGAACTCAAGGTCATGTGTGGATCACGTCATTGTATTCTTTGTGATTTATATCAAAGCTATTAACACTGATTTATTTCTCTGTTCGGCGGTAAGCATAATACTTAATCAAATGTTGCCCTGTATTAAAGCTTTGATGGTATGATGACTATTTGAATAGACAAAACTATCTCTCTGCGGCAGCGGAAGCTGACATCAGCCCCTTGGGGGTTCGGACAAGTCACAGTCAGGAGGGCTCTTTTTTGTGCAAGCGTCAGTATTGTGTCTGTATTAGTCTGGGATATGTCACTGTAGATCCAACATGCAGGATGAAAAAAACAAATCAAATCAATCCTTTAAATTAGAACCACAATGCGGGGCCTAAAACATATGCATTGTGTGACGCAGAAAGAAAATTAAATATTTATTAAAAAGTGGCTAGAAAGACATTGATTTAATACTGAATTACACAACGCCTTGTTTGACATCGATATTGCTGCACCAGTTCTGATAAGCATGTGAACAGAACTGCAGTATCACTGCTGTATACTGAGCTATTAATAAAAACCTCCTGTGTACCATCAAAGGGAAATATGTTTCAGCTCCACAAAAGTGCAGGAAACCACTTTTTAAAGTTGAAAAATTTGAATCAAATCATACATCAGACGCTACAGTTTTTAAAGAAATATGAAAGGACTGAGGACACTGTGTGAGTCAGTTTGCGAAGCACACACAGTGAAAGGTAAGATGTGTAACCCATCGCACATCCCTCTTCATTTGACAAGTTAACATCTTGACACAATAGAAGAGTGTTCACCTGCATCTACCGTACATTAATCATTCAAGTTTCAAAACAATTTCTAGCTTTTGGCAACTCTCCCAGCATTCTTCAGCTTTTCCTTCCCTGCAAGAAATTCCCTTTGTGAGATGTTAACACCCTCTGGCTCGTTAATGGTCAACCACATTTGTAACGTCTGGCTATGTCTTACTTTTCACCCCCCCCAGATGAAATGGCTATCTGGTGCAGTTCATGTTTCTCTTTCCCTGGGTTGCAGCCCCCTCCCCCTCTAATCCTGGCCCCAGTTTTCCCCTCCATCCCCCACCCAGGAAGATCAGTTTTCCCGGCCTGGAATAAAGGGATTAAATCCAGGCAGACTGCGTTCCCCTCTGTGTTGGAGCCAATCGCTGCTCTTTAGCATGCTGCATGGTCTGTAGACAATCAAGATGACGGCTACTCAGGCCTGCATTTGAATTTATTTCAATCGCATCTGCCACCCTTGGCAAACAAGGTTAATTGTGATTGAAACAAAATAGGTTTTCATTGTCATCGTTACTGTAATTAAACTCTGCCCTGGAGTGCTGTCTAGAGTATACCAGAGAGTTTAAAGAATGATGTCACCTGCATCTCCACTGACTGCCCTGTTTTCTTTACTAAGGAAGACCATCAGATGCAAAAACAGCCCAACACGATGATCTTTTTCAAAGCTTCTACTAGCCACTTATTTTTCGGTCTTTCTCTTCTACATCTTTTTTCTTTTTCCCCTGAACACCTCTTTGACTAGGTGGTATGCACAGAGAAAGCAAGGCAAGACTGAAGCAGTCCTTTCCACACCACACAACACAAAAAGCAAAATGGCTTACTAACGGGGACAGATTACGATTATTTAACTTTGATCTTAGAATCATTTCCTGAAGGATACCAGAGAAGAAGCCAGATGTGGTTAGCTCTGTGACTCACCTTAAAAAAATCAGTGGTCTCTGAGACAGTGGTCAGCAAAGGACAGCTGTAACTGCATAACAGGATTTCACAAGGACTACAGATCCGATTTATCTGAGATCACAGTGTTTATAACCTCACTGCACTCTGGGAAATTTCATTATGTAAAGGTTCAGTAACTTCAAAGACTCATGGCTTGGCCAAACACTCTTTTTGGTGTTCTGTAGGTAAAGAAACAGATTTTAGAAATAATCAGATGAGTTATTATGAAGTTAATAATTCACCTTATAATCCACACAGATGCTAGTGAAAGCAATACAAAGCAGAGAGGGATTTGAGACAACATAAATGCCTGATCTCTTAATTACCAGCTGGGTGTCTTTCTCTCTGGCAGTGGGGTAGGAGTTAAAATTTAAAGATCTGCAACTTCACATATGACCCTTCAATGAAATCCGCAGTCAAAAACCAACATTTAAAAATAATATATTTAGAAATAACATTATCAGATCCATTCAGATTCATACAAAAACATTCAAAGTCAAAAACCTAGTCCTGCTCACTCTTCTTTTATGGCCTGTCCAGATGTGCTTATCCCATCTCATTCAAAGAAACCAGAAACAAGCAGGAAAATATCTTATTCCTGTAAACTTACTTTCAATTCCTTTTTAAAATCCTGGAAACCTTGTCATATCATAGTATAATCTGAGCACAGGGTCGTGCACATACAGTAGGTCTCTGACCTTTAGCCCACAGTCACATTACATCTTTATACCTTCCAAACAATTTACTGGTCACCATAACCACGGTGTGAACCACTTCAAAGCACGATTTGACTTCACCAAATATTTTCACTGTCTCTTCAGAATGTCAAGGACATCCATAAGGCTTCTGATCAAGAGGTGCGATTACATCATTGCTGAAGACTGGCTCCAAGCCTCCGATGATGTAATATGCAAAACCTGAGAGTGCTTGCAGCAACATTGGTACACCTTGATCACTTATCAGGATTACATCACAATACAAGAAACAAAACAGGGATCTTGTAACCTACCCACAAAGTGCTGAAAACTCATGCGCCCACATGTTTTGACAAGAGCGACCTTACAGCACTGACAGTTTTCACGAAATCCACTTCCCTTTATGGCGTCACTGTGTGAACTCACTTATTCTGAATATGAATAATATTACAAATATAGGAACCACATAATCCTTTTAAGGAATGTTAGTGCCCACTGCAAAGTAAATTCACGGCCAAATAGTTTGTGAGACATTAACACAGAAATTCTGTAGTCGGATGGTTCAGTGACTAAAATTAAGACAACGCTTAATTTTTTTACAGTTCAGTGTGTGAATTAATTTGATTGCGGCTGATGTGTTGAACTCCCAAATGGTCTCCTGAATGACTGTAGATGTGCTTCCTGGGGCTGCCTGTCTCCAACAAATAGCTTAAACCTGTGTGGGGAATGTTGCCGGATAACTCTATGTATGTTACTGCAGTTGAAAATCTTCATGGAGACATGTCTTTGGGTCGGAATGAAATTGACAATCACAATTTACAGAAGGCTTTTACAGATAACTTTCTATAAGCAACCAATCACAGCACAAGCTTTGGAGGGCAGCCATTTTGTACGTGGGCACATTTGGCCAAGTAGCCAGTTTTGACATCACTGTGTCTTTCTTCTTTCTCCTTTACTCTTTCTCCCCCTTCATTCATCTGTCCATCTTTCTTTGGCCTTCTAATAAAATCCAGGCTCCAGTTCACACCGCCATCCAAGTGTTCACGGCTGAGACATTGTAGCTTTTTTAAAACACTTTTGTATTTTGTATTTTTTTTTTAAAGAATCTCCTCGATTCTTCCCCTTTTTTCGCGTATGTGAAAGGGCAACAAAAATAGAGCAAATGAAATGTTTTTAAAAAAATCATGCAAACTCGCTCAAAGCAGAGGCAAAAAAAAACCCAACTCCAGAATACTTCGATATCGTCACTTCCAAGTGATTGTCTTTTTTCAGCAACACGCACACACATCAGCACACACACGCGCGCACGCGCGCCAGAGGAAAAGCACGTGGATGGAAAAAAATATCCATTGGTGTTTTCTTATGCTTCTTTAAAAATAACTGAGTTTAAAAAAATTAAAAAAAAAACAATAGAAAAACTAACAAACAAAAATCACAAAAGAAAAAGAAGGGTTGTTCTTTTCGTATCTAGACACGCCGGAGTAAAAGTCTGGCGTCAAACGAAGGAGGAGAAGCCAGCGATAGGAGCTCTAGACCCTGGCGCCAGGCTGCTGGGGGGTCTGTAGAGAGTGCTGTGCTGGCTGGGGGGGTTGGAGGGCTGCTGCTGGGGGGTGGGAGTCCGGCTGCCTTTGGGCCTGAACAGGCTGCCCTGGGCCTGGGCCTGGGCCTGGGCCTGGGCCGTGTTGTTGAGCTGGGGAGGCAGTGGGGGCAGCGGGGGTAGGGGCGGAGGGGGCGCGCAGTGCTCCGGCTCGCCCGAGTCGCTCTCCGTGTAGCTGTAGGCCTGCGCCCGTGAGATGCCCTTCTGCTGGCGCCTCCAGGAGTTGTAGTAGGTGGGGTCGCTGATGTAGTGGTTGACGAAGGAGTGGGTCTTCTGGCGGTTCTGGTCCACTTCGTACTCGCTGTCGCTGCCCTGTGAGCAAAGAAATGGGCACACAGGGAGAGAAAGAACGTTACTGGGAGGCCATGCTGTAACACCCTGGGCTGCCTGATCGCTCCAGCGAGAACAATGTGAGGTGTATTGACTTGAAACAAGTTCAGGTGCGTACCAGTACCCTCCAAACTGTACCTTTTCACCTACATGCTTTAAGGAACAAGGCTTTGCCGGGTTTTGCCCTCTAAACAGGATACTAAATAGAATCTTAGGAAAGATGACTGAAATAAACCCATTGCCACTTAATAGCAAAATGTGGTAATGTCAGGGGAGTTCCTGAATGAGTGTAAAAAGTAGCCAAATTCTAATTACAACAAAGTGATCCGTGGGATATAGAGCGATGGTTCTCTAGTGTGGAGTTATCTGGTCTGGCTGAGGAAAGGACAGTCCTGTCATGTTCCTGTCATGTATGAGGCTGGTACAGGGTGTGGCTGGGGTGGCAGGAGGGGAGCTAGCAAAGATATCACATCTGTCGGGAGTTGCCTCTTCCCCTGAAGGTCTGTTTAAGCATATCATTTACAGATTTCAGATATGAATAAAAAATGCTGGGATCTGAGAAAGAGTAAGAGAGCAAATAATTGTGAAAAGAGAGACAGAAATAATTGTATATGTACAGACGTCAACAAATGAGGCACCTTCTTTAATTTGGAATTAAAACTGGAATTAAGAATTCCTAGATGTCACAAACTAAAACTAATCACTAAAATACTAATATTATTCCAACGAAACACAGTGGTAGACCAAAAACTTAAGCACAAGAAGGAAAGCTAACACTAGGAACTACCTTCCCACTAGCACACAAAATACAGACACAAGATCACCTCACCCATTGAAGTGGAAGAACACGAAGACCGCCATTCTTTAAAGAGAAAAGCGCCTCCTACAGGTGGACAAAGATATTGTTTTGGAAGAAACTGAAACCCAGGGTGTCTCCCTAATTCAAAAAAACAACACCATCTTCCAAGGCAATGACCGTAAAATATCACCTGGGATGTGAAGAGCTTGTGTGCACAGACATAAAGAAAGGCATGTGTTCGGTTTGTGCCTTGGGGCAGTTTAAGGCAGTCTGCCAGGGAAATCCCTGTCACATAACACTTAAAATTCACTTCATTGATCCTTCACCACCCCTATCTCAGGCCTTCCAAGTACATGGAATTTCCCCCAAATTTTATGAGTTTACTGAGAGGTTTCAATCCCATGATTATTACATTAATGGTCCTGTTATACTTTTTGTACATGATGATATAAGCAACACAATGCCTTCATCGCTATTCAAGTTTAAGTTTAAGCAGCAAGGGGCACAACATACAACACATTCCCAATAAAACAACATTACTATTAAAAAAACAAAGGGGATGGTCAGATGTTTGGTCAGTGTCGCTCTCAGTGTAAGTTATGTCTCAATGGTGGCTCACTAGTGCTGGCTTTGTGTTATGTGCTCAGCCAAACTGCAATGAAAATTAGTGTTTTATATGGCCAGCAGCCATATCACCCTGCAGCTCACAACTGACAACCCACGGAAACTAGGCAGGTGTGAGCCTGGCCAGTACCTGGATGGGAGACCTCCTGGGAAAAACTAAGGTTGCTACTAGAAGTGGTGTTAGTGGGGCAGTAGGGGGCGCTCACCCTGCAGTCTGTGTGGGTCCTAATGCCACAGTTCAATGTTGGCGACTCTATACTGTTAAAAGGAGCTGCCCTTCGGATGAGACGTAAAACCGAGGTCCTGAGTCTCTGTGGTCATTAAAAATCCCAGGGTGTTTTGCGAGAAGAATAGGGGTGTTACCCCAGTGTCCTGGCCAAATTTCCCCCTGGCCTTTACCAATCATGGCCTCCTAATAATCCCCGTCTCTGAACTGGCTTCATTACTCTGTTCTACTCCCCACTGAGAGCTGGTTTGTGGTGAGCATACTGGCGCACTATGGCTGCCGTCGCAGGGGAGTCCCCATTACCTGTAAAGTGCTTTGAGTGGAGTGTCCAGAAAAGCGCTATGTAAGTGTAAGGAACTATTATTATTATTGATGCAGGCTTGAACAAACTGGCTCAGCACCAGTTAAGAGCACATTTACTTGTCCTGAATGTGCATCAGAACAGTACAGGAACGTACCTCCTTAACCAGCCTCTCTCATCTTTCCTCTTTCTTCCACGTGTCGTTGTAATATACTGTGCAGTGATGCTACAAAGCACTGTAAGTGATGCAAAAGACTTAACGAGTTTGGAATACAAACTCATCTACTCAGTCCCCTGCATTCCTCATCTATGAGCCGAGCTCTGCAGCAGGGGACAGGGGCACAAGCTCAGTGTAACGAACAGTTCTTTCCGGACCCTATGCGGACGACACAATCCGACGGAGTGGGGGAACACTGGGGAAACGTCATGCAGGAAAATGGGGCTGAAGACAGGGGGGCGTGTCCAAGGTGCGCTGGTGCACGGGGGAGGTGTGGCCGAGGCGAACAATCCCAAAGAGTAATCCATAGAGTATCCAAAACACGAAGGTAAGTCCAAAACCAGGAGATCCATCAGAACTCGGAATTAAAACCACGAAGGCCGGGTCGGAACCGGCGGACGGGGAACAGGAACGGGAACGGAGGTTAAAACCTTAACGGGACCAGGCGCTTCCAGGTCCCGGACTCGCACGATATGGAAATCAGATGCAGAACCCGAAGAGCGTCAGCGCCTGGCTTATAAGGTGGGCAGGGAATAGGGCGCAGGTGCATGGAATGAAGTCTTTAGTGAAAGGGCTGGAGCACCCTTAAGGAGGGGGGACTATAGTCGTGACACTCAGGACTGGTGTGACAGGCGAGCTGAAGGCACACAGCTGCCAAGCCCAGGCAGGATTAGAACAGATGTTCTCATCTCAGGGCAGCACATCTGTCCATTTCACTGATTCATCACCCCCCTTCTATCTAAAAATAGGAACCCACAATAATAAGATTCATAAAAAGCTGCAATAATTAGAATTTAGAGGGCATTGGAGGGGATTAACATTAATTAGCTCTCCAACTCAGATTTCAAAGAACCACAGTTTACGAAAATCTAGCGTAAAGGATAGTAGGAATTATGCTGGATCTTTTATAAGTCTGGCGATTAAGAGTTTCATTTCTCTTCCTGTATTATTTTTATTTTGTACTGTTTCTGAACTAGATCTTACACTAAGAAGACAGATCCCTTAGATGGCTGAAGAAATAAAGGATTTCTAACATTCCTCTTCTGTGTATGACATCTCTGCTAATCTCTGAGGAGTTGCAGCCCACAGTACAGCCTCAAGGGTGTATATTTACTACATGATACCTAAGTAAATTGGAGGAGAAATTGTTTCCTCAGGAGTTTCAGGTAAAATGATCTCAAATAGGATTATAGCCTTGTCAAATCTGTCTTCTTCAGCTTTCAGATGAAGACGGCTCCTCATTGAAATATAGTACAGTTCCCAGCAGTACTCTGTTACAGAAGTACTGCCCATTTCCAGTATGTAGTTAAAACAGCTGTGCTTCAGGTTCTTAAATCCAAAACAGTTCTTTGCAGTGGAAGTACTGCTGGGTCAGCTTCTTAAGGAGTTCTCTAAAGCACTTACCTTCTTCTTTTCTTATTTTTTTGTGAAATTGAGGAGAAATCAATTTGGAAAAAAAATAATCACTGCACGTTCATCCAGTTTACCACGTGTGTTTGAGAAATTTTGACAACACTTTGCTAGTACAGCTTTTCTTTAAGAAAAAGGAGCTTCAGCAGCAGCTGTACGATAAATGATTTGTATACTGTGTGGACAGTCCGGTTATCTGCCAATCCCTGAACCTTCCAGCTCAGACTGAGACAAAAAGGCCCCCACACTTACAAATAAAACTGTGGTTCAGCTTGTTCTGCCTGGCTTTAGGACACACATTGGCAGCCTAGACTAATGCTCTCAAGATAGCAAGTTGGCTCTTTGTTGTTTTCTCGTTGTCTCCTAGATATGGATTATCATTGAACCAGACTGGGCCGAGAGAGTTTCTGTCTCTAGAAATTGTAAACAGCGGTGAATTCAGAGATGAATAAAGAGGAAAAATGGGCAATCCAGGATCCCTACAGACACTTGTCTTACAGACAAGTAAATCCGAACAAGGAAAGGCTATAGAGATACATAGCTTTGATCTGATGAATGCCCATCAGCTGGTGGTTATTCTTTGAATGTTTCTGACCAAGCAAGAATCATGACAGCCTGGCTGAGGTGTAGAGCTCAACATCGCCCACTGATTGACAGATCATGAACATGGAGCCTGTGCCTATCGGTGGAAAGCAAAAAAATACCCTGTGAAATCCACTGATGCTTTTTCTTATTACTGCTGTAGATCTGCCACTCCACCTAGATAACTTCACCATGAGCTCATCTGACCGTAAACCGTACTCAAGAGCCTCCTTTAAAAACATGAATATTTCTACATAAATGAATGTACACACTAATCTTCTTGGCAGATACATTCAAAGAGAGGAAATGGAGAATGGTTACTGGGGCAACGTCAGGTGTGGCTGTTTACCTGCACGGGGCTTGAGGTGGCCAAGTTTCCATGCCGACCGCATTTCTTTTTCAAAACCCCTTCTTACGAGAACAATGCCTGACTCATGCCTCTCCACACAACTCGCAGTAACGGGATACACTTAAGGGGGGCTGATAGCCCCCACGTTATCCGCTCAATAAAACTTCAAAGGAAATTCCAGCTCAGGTCCTTAATATGCCATTTAACGATGTCATCGCTGCCACGCAGTAAGAGTGTCAGAAGTGTTTCTGGAGTACAGGAATTGGGAACAAGGCAGAGTCTGTTTAAGTCACAGTGGAATGTATGTAGCTTTGTAGCATCTGCTGATCTGGTGGCAGGCTTTTGTCTTTCACTCAATTATAACACATGAGGAGATAGAAATAGTGGTTTTGTCTTATTTAGCAAAGAATTTGTAAAACCAGTAGAATTTGTGGTATTGCAGCTACTGGTCTAATGCAAAGTATAAAGCCATGTCTATCCTCATTTGCAGCTGTTTGATGCAGTTGACTGTTCCTGTGCCAGCAGGAGGGCTCCTTTTGCAAAGATCCTGGTGTCACGTCTGATCTGATACGTCCTGATCCAATAGTCTCATCTGAGACCTGGCCTTATACTCTGCCTTGCCTGACAGCAGATGTTGAGAGAAGAATGGTAATAGGTCCCAGCACAGGATGGGGGCAGCTAGAATGAATGGTGCCAAGATATGGAAGTTCTGTTCAATTACTTCTACAGTTTCATTGCAGGAGTATCAGACTCATTTGTTACTGATGGAGACGGGAGTATCAGGCTGATCCTTACTGATGGAGACAGGAGTATCAGACTGTCTCGTTACTGATTGGGATGGGAGTATCGGACTGTCTCGTTACTGATTGGGATGGGAGTATCAGACTGATTCCTTACTGATAGGGAGGGGAGTATTAGACTGAATTGTTACTGATGCAGAAGGAGTATCAGAGTGATTGGGTACTGATGGAGAAGGGAGTATCAGGTGGTCCATATCCAGTGTTCTGGAGCTTGGTTACAGCCCAGGACAAGTAAAGAATAGGTTAAAAAGCTTTGTCCTCCATTGTTTTCAGTATTTCAGTGTCTTTTATTTCTCCTGTTTTTGGGTAAGTGGGATGGCGTACTGAGAAGTATATCATGGCATATCATATTTAATAGCAGGCATACTTAAAGTTGGTAAAGACCACATTACTGAATTACTGAATTATTTGAGTAATTCTGATGCCATGAAAACATCTCACTGGCATGTACTACAAGAAATTAAAGTAACAGGCTAGGCAGTGGAATCATTTTAGGTCCTTGCAACATTACAGTATATACTGTAGGTCTTAGTGCAAAGTTATGAAAGACACTGTGTGCTTTGGGAGGCTATACATAGTTAGTCCTATTCTGAAAAGAACACATGAAAAAGAAGCCTAACACAGTGCATAATATAACATCTAAATCTAATTACAATTTATAATATAATTAATTACAGATCTGAATTAGATCATTATTTAATTAATCTCTCACTCTTGCAGTTCAATCTCTTCTTTGCAAAATCTGCCTTAACTGAACAGCAGCAGGAGTGAAAATGAGGCAGAAATGCCGCAATGAAACCCCTCTGAAACATCTCGCTCAGCAGCAGTGCTGGGGAAAGTGAGTGAGAGGGCGAGAGGCGCAGAGAGATCAAGGATCACAGACAAGCGAGATGAGAGAAAGCTGTTCAGGGGCGGCTTTGCCAGAGACCATACTGTCACGTCAATTCAGCGGGTGCCAGGGAGTCCTGAGCACTCTGGGCAGCTTGAATTCAGCTGAGAAGCCGTTGCCCGAGACCAGCAGTGTGCGATGGAAGGAATCCAGGTTCGCGAGTCCTGAGACACTCTCGCCATTGTGAGCGCAGCTCAACACGCTCTCTGTTTACCCTGCCCCGCCCACTTCCCTCAAGACCACGCTCTCCACGGGAGTGTTCCCAGATCCCCTGCCCCCGTGAAGAAGAGTCGAGACACAGCTGCAGGACATCCTGGATCATGGCCCCCCCCTGCCTGAGATGAGCATCTTTTCCCTTTTGCATGCAGACTGCAGGCTGGAATACGAGTTCCATGGGAGATAATTAAAACCTCCATCCCTTCTCCTCCAGGAGAATTCAGGCAGCAACATTAACATTCTTCTCCTTCTCCTCCAGGAGACTGGGCATCTCATTTGTGGTTGATCCTATGCTACAGCTTTCTCAAGGCCTCTTGAATGTTGCCTAGCGGGTTACCAGAGGACAGTACTGGGCTTACGATGAGGCAGCTACCCTGGTTTTCAATAACTCTAACTACACACTTTTCCAATACTCGCTCAATATCATCCTGCAGCTCAAAGTGTCAAAACTGCTTTTCAGTGCCTTTTGAACTCAGATGGTTTGTTTAGTCAGTTTTTCACCATCCTCTCACCCTGTATCATATGCCTTCTTCAATCTTGTCTATCCTGTAGGACATAACTGCAAGCTGTGTTTGTTAAAATGGTGCATTGAGGCACAGTTCTGCCACCAGAATTAATCTGTGCCTTTTTTTTTCTCATTTTTTTAGATTGCTGTAGTTTGGAAATTCCTTCTGCCGATAAGGTTCCCTCTTGGCAAAGTTTTAGTATCGCACAAATTAAACAGACATCATGGCAAATTGCAGACAATGACAGCGATGGGGATAAAATTCAAACTGTCCATGAGCACTGCAGTGCAACATGTCCTCAGTGTGCATATTCAGGTCAATTCCACCCATCACAGAAACACTGGGTGGTGAGAGAGAGCTTTGGTTTTGACACACTACATGCCACTGGGGAAAGGTTCTCCTGCTTTGCCTGGATCTCTATGAATTCCTCGCGGGGCAAAGTATTTCCCTTCTTGGCTAATCAACTGATGTGAAAGAATTAACACTCTCCAAGACACATCTGAGACACGTCCAGGGGTTCCTGAAAGGTGACACCAGACACAAGGCCAGTTCGGACTGAGAGCCAGATCAGACACAGCAGGGATGGAGGCAGACAGCAGCACTCACCTGGGAGTCAGAGATCTCGGAGGGCTTCTCCGTCAGACTGCTGCTCTCTGCTGGGATCAGGTCGTTGTATTTGGTGCTGACATCCTCATCGGAGTAATGCAAGCTGCCAGGACTGGGCCTTGGTGGGGACCTGGGAGAGAGCCCACAGTTAGCGTTCACCCTTCACATGCTTGGCCTGGACAACCTGCTTGTCAGCAGGTGAACGACTTATTACTTCATTAGTGAGCAGCTCATTCTGGTTTTCATAGTTCTGTCGGCTGGCACTGTCATTCGGCATGTTAACCCTAACTCTTTTATCAGACATAACTCCTGACCAGAGCGCTTAACATTTATTGCCAAACATTGCTAACCTTTCTAGACCGAAGCCCATAAAATTGATACATTCTCTTATCATTCCTTCCTAATCTGCATTGAGAAGTTTGGGGCAGAAGTTACCCTGAAAATCTTTGTAGAGACCACCACAGCAGCTTTTATTTTTGCAGCTCAAGCAATGTAAAACATTTTATGCTAGCAGTGAAAACCTGGCGCATGGGAGGAGTGACGTTCAGCAAAACCAATCGATCAGGAGCGTGTCAAAAGCTCAGCAGCAGCGCTGGGAAATAGTTTCAGGCTCACAATCACTCCTTTATCTACAGAGACAAAATGCATTCAGCTTGCAGCCTCTGTTGCCTGTTGACATACTCAATCTCTTGTTTGGATGAAGGGGGCTGATATTCACTTCATAAACATCATGGGACACACATGTGAGTCTCTCTTGGAGGTTCTCTGGAGCAGTTTTGTTTTTGTCTGGTTAATATGATATGCCAAAAGATTGTTGGTCTGCCCTTGTGACATCTCGTGAGCTGCACTCCAAGTACTGTAAGAGGATGAACAGAGCAAACTATACACATACTGTTATATCAAAGAACCCTTTTAATGCTGACAAAAGGAGGAAATCGCTGGGTCTCTTCTCCCCCATAGAACAATCAAATGACTGTTCTCGCTAAACATTTCCTTATTTTATCATACAACCTATGCTCCTGTTTAAGGCCGAAAAACAAATTCAGATATAAATACTGGCCAATCTGAAGCAGCGGGTTGTTTTTTTTAAGGGAGAAACCAGACCAAGTCTAATGATGAGTTATGGAAAAAAAAAAAAGATTACATGGAAAATCATGAATTGCCTGTAATTTTGTTTTTGCAACAATAAAATGCTTAAAAGTATATTAACAGGGAAGAAGAAAACAATCTAAATAAAATTTCAAGATGACAACAGTCTTGATTTTATATTTAGGAGCCCCATGGCCCTTCATAGCCAAAAGAGGTCTTAATGCAGCTTCATAGCTATAACTGAATTAACTATTTCATGTATTCAGGGGCTGTGTTCAAGGAATAAATTGCACACAGAGTGTTAAAGTCATGACTTCACCCTGACTGAAGCCAGAAAGACATGTCCCTACACTGAATACACAGTGGCCCTGTCATGGACTGAAGTCAATGGGTGGTGGCAAGACTTGATAAACACTGCCTTCAAAGAGAAAAGCTCAAGATTTCCAGAGGAAAGCTGGCTGATAAAGGTCTTTCACATCCAATCTTGGTGCTCCTGCCCTTCATTGAGCCTCCCAGATGGAGGCAGTGTGTCTGGCCAACATCACACTCCCTCTACCTGCAGGCAAGGTTTGGGAGCAGAAGGGGAGCCTTGCTGGGGTCTGACAGAAGGCCTATTGTTTGCAAGGTGATTTCCACACTCAGTCCACGCGGCTTGGTGGGAATTTCGAGCAGCTCCATGGGAGGCAGGCTGCAGGCTTTCTCTGTCTGTCAGAGAGGGAGCAGTGCTTTTACTGGGTGCTCTTTCATGAAGCAATCTGCCTACAGCCTCAGAGCCTGCCAATGTCTCAAACTCAATGCAGTCAAAGAAAAAAAAACCCTCTCTTCTTCACTGTACTGTGCACTGCATTGAAGTAAATGGGAAACTGGCTCATGGACATTTGCATAAATGTATTTGTGGTTTTTAGTCAGGTCCTTTGACCTGAATACATGATTCAATGATCCCCAAACACTGCCTTTTGCCCTCACGTGTGATGAGATCCTTAATTAATGGGGTGCCGGATATTTTAAGTAAACCACACATTCGCAAAATAACCCCAGGTCTATAACCCCTGCTGTCAGAACCCCAGACCTGACTTGCAAGACTGGGGATGCAGGAAGTTGACAAAGAAACGCATACTGAGGAAAGAGTTAACTGAATTGGTTTCATGCAGAGAAGGTCATCAGATCCCTGAGAACAAGCAGAAGGGAAGTGGGGGAGTGGGGGGAGCAGGGAAGGTCTTGCACTGTTGAAGATTTGGAGGCTGACAGACGGTAGTGCAGGGGAGGGTCCCCAGACTCCAGCTCCTTGTTTAAATTCTAGTTTAACTTAAATTCAGAAGCTGCCCAGCATTATCTCTCCCTTGCCCCGTGCTGCCTCCTCTAAGGATTGGCGGTTGACTTCTACCTGGTGCCAGGGGGTGCCACCTTCACCCACTAGAGCACAGCTCCAGTGTTCCCAGCCCATGGCCCTTCAGAGGAACTCGCAGTTCCACAACAACAACTGTCATGCTTGACACGTGAATGAGTCAGCCATGAAGGAGCTTGGGAAGGTCTGCCAATGTGGCCTTCTCCTGCGCTTCTACCTCACTCTTGACTGGGGACACAGGGGCGTGTAATTTGTGGAACACTGGGAACACATTTTCCACCTATTCACATTTTAAGGCCTCACCTTCATCTTCATTAGATTCTGAGCCCAGCCTTTTAAACTTTTGATGACTTATCCGCGGCCTGTGGGCTAGGAATGGGACAGTCTGAGGAAGGGACCTGCTACTGTTCAGCTCTGTAAGGGCCTGTATTTCGTGGTGAGGAATCACACAAGGTTACAGTACAGCTCCGCCCTTTTAAAACATTTCACTTGTTTTCTGATCAAGACGCTCTGGGAATTTTCACAAAAGAGCTTTGTTTATTTATAGATGCATTGTCAAGAATCAATACCCAGTCTTGAGCAGAAGAGTGCGTATGTGTGAGTGTGGTGTCTGGTCAACCAGGGTGTGTCGCAGCAGTGCGAGGTTTCCGCCTTTCTGAAACAGGAGCACCATCCCAGGATCCCGAAACTGGCACCTTGACCACTAACAGGTTCAAAGAGGAAGAGATGGCAGATACAGCTGTGAATTCCTCAGCCCTGGACCCAAGGCAGATTGAGCCTGTCTGCCTTTCAAACGAAAGAGACCTTTGATCTGCTGTCAAGGTCAGGCTCGCTGTTCTCCGGAGATGCTGGATTTGTGCGATCATTCCCTTGGCAAGTGCACTAGAGACAAAATTCCAAGCTCACTCCGAGCAGGCTCTGCCTCTTCCCGGAAAGATATCCCAAGGAAAGGGAATAGAGCAAGAAAAACCCAACCAGTCAAAAACCGTTTCAGAAACTAAACACCGTGATCAATAAATATGGATAAGAACTGAGCTGATATTTGTGCTGCTACTGATAGCAGTACAAAATAAGCAATAAGGGAAAAGTCACTCAGACAGCTGAGTCAGGTGTATTAATTCCTTCTGCACTCGGAATTCTCAAGGACATGGACAGAGTCGACAGAGAGGATCGCTTCCAAATGAACAGTCAAACAAACAAAGTGGGCACAATGGGAAAAATATGGATAGGCATTTAAAACTGAAAGTTTATCTGACGGGGTTGTGAGCGGATGAAACAGGCCACCCCGTTGTTGTAGCTGTTAACCTGGCCTCTTTCAAGAAATGTCTGGATGAGTTCCTTGAATTAATTAACTATCAGACAGGCTTAATGGGCCAAATGGCCTTTCACTGGTAACCTTTCTCATGTTCTTAATGGGTTGCCCACCTTCTCATGCTACGGATGCTGCCTCAGCAGATGGTTCAGCATTGTCTAATGCTGTTGCTGTCTGGGGGCTTCTGAACACTGGACAGATGGTCATTCTGTCGATACCCTTCGGTTTAAATACAGGTATTTAAGTACGCTCCCTGTCTCTGAGAAAGGACCAAATGTGTCCCCACACCCATCTCCACAGACAATAAATATTACAACATATGAAATTCAACGTATTTGAATTTCAAAGTGATAACTTAAAACAACTGTGTTCTTCAACACTATGACAACAGTTAATCTGTTACTGTATTTAAAACAGGAATTAAAATATATATTTTTTAAACTTAAGAGCTCCAGGCCAAAGGACTGCTTGCTTGACATGTTATTTGGAATCCTTCATTTCTAGATTTTCATACACTTTTCTAACTTCTAAATTGCAAAAAGGTGTTTTTAAAAAGTCCCTTACACATTTGAAAATCATTGGCTCAGCTCAATGCTTCCCAGGAATTCTTAAGACAGTTGTTTTATATCATTATCAACCTCTCAGACAAAGTGAGTGTTTTTTTAGCTGTTTTTTTAGCTTTGAAGATATAATGAAATGTAAATAAAAATGTATTCTTCTGGCAACTCGGGAACAGAAGCCGGCTGAGAAAGTTTTTCTTTGAGGGCGTTAACCCAGAAGACAATTTACTGAAACAATCTTTTCCAAAACAGTCTTCCAACACATGTGAATGAGACTGTTAAAGGATAATCTCTTCAAGCAGTGCCTGTAGGTTTTAAAAGGATCAGTATGATTTATGGGATAGGGAAGATGAAAATAAAAAAAAATAATTTCATATCTTCTCCATAAAATAAGAATTGATGTTATATATAGAACCTCCAAATATTATCTTTGTGTAAAGTTAAAATGTGGCTCTCAAGTACAGATGGATTGTATTAACCTCGTTAATAATAACTCATTAGGTACTCATGGACCTACAGTACTTTTCACAGTTTGCCTGGTTTTTGTTCTCTATTTTAATTTAGATTTCACATACTGTAAAAAACAAATGTGTTTTTTCCGTTTGTAGTTTGGCAGGAGTTTTAAAAGGACCATGACAACATTAAGTAAACACACAAAATCAAAGTGCCTGAGTGAAAACACACGCTCCATTAATGTGGCTTCAGCAGAGCAGAAATCTTCTCCAGGCAGAGAGTCTGTAGTTGGAGACTGAGTGTCTGCCATTCAAGTCAAGGCCTAATTAAACTGTTAGCTTTATGGAGCCATGAAAGCACAAATAGTTCAATGCTTTAGTGGGGAAAACAAAGAACTGATTACCTCATTACAGCAAACTCTCACATCACACATCATACACACTGCAAGCTTTCATTTCACAGTTAATTCCATTAACCTCTTTCCAATACAGCTTCTAATCACTTACAAAAGTGTATGAGGCCCATTGTACTGACTTCTGAAGAGTGGCAAAGAATATACTAAATCTTTTATTTGTGTGGGTCGTTTTCCCAAAAAATATTTTTCATTGAAACCTCAAGAAATGTCTTGTCTGTTGTGGAGTTTTGCTTTCTGTACAGAAGGTATAATTTCTCTCTATGCACATCAGGAACTACGTAGAACAGTAAGACCTGATGGCACTGCATCATTAAGTCCACTTAAGGCAACTACCAAACATTGGACAGCAGTAAAATCTAAAAGCAAATGTACAGCTACATCCATAGGCACGGACACAGGACGGAGAGCATCATCTGGTCCATGGCAAACGTGCATATTGGGCTTCATTAGAGGCCATTAGGCACCTCAATACATAGATTGTGGATGTTGCATTGATTGAAATTTGTACTGTGTATGTGTAAGTGTAATATGTGTTTTGTTGTTTTCCTGTTTTTTAATCTGGGCAAATTCCAACCCATGTTGTTGACATGGCAATCAAGTATTGAACCTGTTTCATCAGAATGAAAACACAATTTTCAGCACAGCAGTGGATGCTGGGGAGAAGAGCTGCCTGATTTGTGTGAAAGGCAGCAGGGTTTGTGCGTACCTGGTGTAGACTCCATTCTTCCGGCAGAAGGAGTTTTTGACTGACAGCCTGCGGTTGTTCAGCTCCAGAGCTGGAAATCTCCCCTCATCCAGACTCACCATTTCCCCATGACTCAGTGCGTTGCAGTTGGAGTTGTTCCCTGAGAGGAGATACCAAGACACGATGTGAGCACAGGCTGCAAAGACAAAGGAGGTTTTGTTCAATACGCTACAAAAAAACATCTGACTGAGGTTTAGCAACATCACTTACAGTACAGTCAAAGAGCTAAAGAAACTAACTGTGTTGTTAGGATTTGTGGCACAACACTGGCTTACTGGCTCAGCGAAACTGACATCAGAAACTTCCAAAGTTAAGGAAGGCAGTCAAGGGCAAAGCATTGTAATCAAATCTGCCTGGATTGCCTTTAATTGGAACTGTATTTTCAGTTTCCTTCTCCTTTGATAATTAGAAAACAATTTGTTTATTTTCACTTTCCCTCTTTCTATGCCTCAAGTTTAGTCAGTGTGTAAGTTACCTTTATTATAATGTAAGTGTTGTAAAAAAAGAGTGTGTAGAACATCTTGACATCTTAGTGTGAGGTTTTTGTAGCCGGTATTATTGTACGTATTTCACTGTCTGGTTTAAATGGAGATGAAAGGATGTTGGAAAGGTAAAGGCAATGAAAGCTGAATTAGTCTCCAGGTCCTATTGATCCATGGGCCTCATTAAAAAGTAGCAGAGGTGTTCAGGATGGACAGGGAAATACGAAGCAGACGACAAAAGTAGAAACTATATCGATGTGTATTTAGAACTGAGAACAGGAGGCACTTCTTTATCCAAAGGATTGTGGGAGTGTGGAAGAAGCTACCCAGCCATGAAAACCAATGCCCTAGCTTCATTCAAGAAACAGCTGGATGAGATCCTTTGACCAATAAGCGCCAAACTACCAAACGAGCCAGATGGGGTGAATGGCCTCCTGTTGTTTGGAACTGTTCTTGTGTTTTGAATTGGTTTCCTAAAAAAAAAGCCATAGCCAATCAACTTTAAGTCTCCTGGAACTGCTAGGCGTTCTCATGTAGAGTAACGTTCTCAGGAGGCGGTGCAGCCAGTGCCTCAGTCTCTCTCTCTTCGCTCCACGCAAGACGCCCCTTGGCCTCTCGGACCGGGCTGGAGGACAGGCAGCGGTTAAACACACAGAAATAAAGAAACAAACAAGAGCTGCGCGGTCCCTCCCGATGCCCTTGCCCCGAGAGCCTGAAAAGTGCTTCTTTGTGTCCCGGACAAATGGTTCTCTTGTGTTTTCCGTCTCAGCTAGAAACGTGTTTACAGATGAAATCTCAGCCTCGGCTGGAGAAGCGCGGCAGACAGTGCTGACGGAGGCAGAATGCAGGACCTCAGGGCTGGGCTGGGCGGCCTCTCCACGCCTGAGATAGCAGCCATCAGACACTGGCAGGCAGCAGCTCTGCGTGTCTCGAGACACAGCTTGGCACTGCCCGCACACACACACACTGTATGCCATCTTAGATGGATTTATTGTCTCTGTGGCAGATGAGGCTGGTTGACAATACGTCCGAATCCCTCTGTCCAGTCCTTAGGGTGAGGAGCAGTTTCCCCACTGTATCCTGCACTGCAGTTGTACAAAAGATGCATAAAGACACAACAGAGCCCAAGATACAAGATTGTGGTCCCCGAGATACTGCAGCACAGCTGTGTAGATTCCTACTGTATGCCAACAGATCTTGTCTTTGCTAAGCTTTAGCCTTGTTGTGCAGCCAACATTGTGCTTTTCTTAATCGAAACCAGACTATTTTCCTATTTTTATTTTTAGTGTGCTCAAAAACTTCACTACTATCACTGGAACTGAAGACACTCTGCTCTCCAGACAGCCAAGAGCCAGTGCTGAGGTACTGGGAAGAGGTTAGAATGGCAGAAAGACAGATCCATTTTCATTCCTTATCTGAGAAATAGATGATAACGGGAGTATGCCAAATTATCTAACAAGGCTCCATCTCTTTGAAGTTGCAGTTCCTACCAGCTGCAGATTCCTAGAAGAAATTGAATATTTGAAGATTATTGGCTTGAAGGGGATTTGATGTTTGTCCGAAGCATGTTTAACGCATGATGGCTTATACAGCAAAAGGATGAATTGGGTAAAAAGTGATCCCAGGACCTTTTCAAACATCTTACCTACTGTTTGTGTTTCTGAAATGTTCTAATCAGGCCTTGCTGATTGCTTTGAGGCCTGAGTGTACCTGCCTGCTTTCAGTGCTGTCATCCTCTTTCAGAATCATGGAGTGCGCTCCCATTTCAGAAGTGTAAATGAGACACAGCAAAACCTCTTCTTTAGTACCCCGGAATGATTAATTTCTGAATCTGGTCTGGAGCTTGGAAAATAGGTTTTGGCCAAATAAGATGAGTATTATTAGTGGCAGCTTTCCAACTGTTACTCTCTCTGAACAAAGGACTTCAAACAAACAGAGTCAAACAACTGTGAATGAGTGTAATGCAGTCACGAAAAGAAAACAACTGAAAAGAATTGTCATGTGAACCGTTTTCATTTTATGGGAAATCCGGTGCATTGATCCAAAGCTCAACTGATTTAGCCCCACCCCCTCTGAAATATGAGATCTCATTCTTAAAAGGATTGGTCAAAGCCATATTACCAGACATCAGACAAAGGGGAGAATCTGATCTAGAAAAACAGACATTTCTAAAGCGAAATTGATGGATTTTGCCCGAGCCCTCTCAACATCCCAGCTAAATTACAGGACACAAGCTCTGCGCAACGGTATGCTGACACATGGCTCAGGAGAGGACTGCCCCCTGCTGAATGTCCAGCCACCTTGCTCAGAACCCATGGCTGTCATGGGATACTGCAGGACAGGGGAAAGACACAATGACCAACTTTGATAGTCATCTACCTGTACAACATTTTGCTTTGAGAATATTCCCTTTTATCTTTCAAAGTAGATGGTTAGCATAATGGCTGCTCTCTTAACACCTGACACGTGTGCACGAGCCTTCCACGTACCTGAATCAGATTTCTTCGCATATTTCTTGCTCTGCCCACGAATGATCAGGATGAAAACCAGCAGCAGGATAAAGATGAGCCCCACCAGCGCGACCACCACCAGGAACCACCACTCCTCGTAGAAGGGTGCCACCTTCTGGGCTGGAGGCCAAGGATATGATATTGTCAAAAAAGGGAACAGCAAAGACTATTCAGTTTGGTTTTCACGAGTGTTTTGCTGGTTTACACTGTCCACAAACTGAGAGTGAATTCAATGTGCGGGAGTACTGAGGCACAAAGTTTGATTTTATCTACGTCTTAGGTAAAGAAAACACAAAAAATCAGTCGGGATTCGAACAGTTTCTACTTCACACTAGCTGTAAAAGGTTAAAGACAAAAAAAAGAACAATAAAAAAACAATATCTGACCAGAAATAGAAGGCGAGGGAGCACTGGGTGAACCATAGCCATAGTCGTTGACCCCGATGACCCGGAAATCATAGCTCACTCCTTGTTTCAGTATATCCATATTGAATGTGTATGATGTCACTTCCTTCGGAATGTCCTTGATGAGGATGTCCCACAATCCCTCATCTGCATACAAAGTAGCAATGGGGTATGTGGTTAGGTAAAAGCCAACAGAAATTGTATCTTAAAGACTAGAGATATTTTATTACTGACACCAGACTATGGAGATGTTAGTATGTAATTCTTCTCACTGAAAGGCTCCCATAAATAAGTATCTTTGGTGCCTGTGACTTTCAATAAAGGTGAGATCTTAACACCTACCAACATTTCTAAAATGTTACATAATCTCTTTTAGATCCTTGATTTTAGGTTTAAAGCTGGAAGATAGCTCCTTCATTTGCATTTCATGTAAACCTGAAAACCACACAGAATGGCTAACCAGCCTGCGGAGTATTGTGATTTCCCATGGGTAGAGTAAATGCAGATCTTGCATTACTGTTCAGTTTACTTTGCAATAAAACGCACTGCAGCTCAACCAAGGTATAATCAAGAATGCAAAGGGCACACACAAGATACACTGGCCAGATAGATTGCTTGCAGGAGATACGATCAGTTCCTGGTTCCGAAATGTCTGATGTGCTGCTGGAAAGGCAGACTGACATAAGGAAAAGCAGACTTGGTAGTAATTCCTCCGGGAGCTATCTGAGTGACACGCAAGCTGAATCTTTTCACTGGCAGGACGCTTGGCTGCTGACAACCTGTCCCGTGTTGTAGTCTCAGCATCTGCACAGCCATGTTTTCCACCCCTTCTTCTGTTCCCAGAAACAGTGCAATCGATCCCCCTCGTCCTCCTCCAGCCCTCTCCCACACTCCCCTGTGTTGATCAGTCAGTGTCAGTCACTGTGATACTTGATTCTTCTATCTTCCCTTGATGTGCCCCGATCGATATTCCATTAAAAGACTTAGAGGAACAATTATGGTGCCCTGCTGTTCATCTTCCTGGGTTCTATGGAATGGATAACTTTACTTGGAAAGGCTGAGAAATGATTGCCGTTATCCAGGCTGCTGCTGGCTTCCCAGCCTCATTGTTTTAAAATAGAACTTGCAAAAACATTCTTGTGTAACAATCATTTTGAAAGACAAGCAGACAACGATTTTCATGGCAACAGGCTGGAGACAACCTGGTATTTTGACTGGAAGCTTCTGTTTCTCAAATACAGTATATTTACACTACATGCAGATATATAGTTACAATAACTAGAATGAGTTTGACTTTGAATTTTTTAAAAAAAGAAAGGTTCCAGTCAAGAGGAGGCTCATCTAGCCTGTTTGCTGATTAGTGGTTAATTGATCCAAGCATCTTATCCAGCTGTTTCTTGAAGGAAGCCAAAGAACAGCTCCAAACACACAGTAGCTTGCTCCAGACTCCAACAACCTTTTGAATAAAGTTCCTCCTGTATTCAGTTTTAAATACACTTCCATATATAGAAGTTTCCACTCGTGTTGTGGAAACTGGTCCATGTTTCACTGTTGATTCTGAAGAAGTCAGCTGGGTTGACCTTATCAAAGCCTTCCATAATTCTGAAAACGTGTATCAAGTTTCCTTGTAGCCTCCTCTGCTTCAGTCTAAAAAGGTTCAGCTCCTTCAGCCTGTCAGTGTAGAATGTTTCTTAAAGTCCCAGAATGCATCTTATCGCTCTTCTCGGGACTGATTACAGAGCTGCCAAATCTTTTTTATAAAATCGTGACCGAAATTGTGCACAGTGTTGTAAATGAGGCCTAGCTAGTGCATTACAAAATTGCACACATTTTAAGTTTGACTTCAGCTACATACTATTAACTATTGGTACCTTCCACCTTAAATCAGCTAATTCACTAAATGCATGATTGTTCAATAAACCTAGAAAAAGTAACTCTTGAAAAAGTATTGTAGTTTCATAGACAATGTTCATGAAACCTATGAAAATGGCAAGCAGCGCTTTGAGAAACACCCTTCTGCCAGGCTTACCTGAGGGTCTGGCCTCGATGACGTAGCGGGTTATGGGGGCTCGCCCGGGGTCCCCATTTGCCCAGTGAAGGGTGAGAGCCGAGCCGTATCGAGAAATAAAGGGCTCCCCTGGGGGGCCAGGGGCTCCTGGGAGAGGGGAGAGAGAGACAGGGAGAGATGGCTCAGTGTCGCAAATCCAATCCGGAGAAATAAAAACACCAGATTGCTTCGCTGTCAGAATACAACACTCTTCGTTGACTGGCTCAGAATATGCATCTGTGAGGCTCACCCAACAAAATAAGATTTATTAGCCCTGTCTCAACAGTTTAAAACAGAGTTACAAAATTAAAAATTTTATGATGCCCAGATATCAAACAGATATCCTGTCTGATATGAAACAGAAACTGAATCAGCGAGCCTGTTTCTGTCATTAAATGCTGTGTTAATTCTATCCGCTTTAGCAACACTGTAATTCATCTGTCATGCCAATAAAAGCTTTTTGAATTTTAAATTGAAATGTGTGTGGTCTTGTTCTTTATGCTCATTCAAAGGTGTCTCCTGAAAGACTCCCTGCACCCTTGACTGGACACAACACCACCCTAATTTGGAAACCTCACTGGAACTTCTACCACAGCCTCAGAGCCTAGGGTGTTTTGTCTTGTCTGGGGACCGTCTCAACAGGCTGTCATGTCTGCATGTAGACATGGAGGGTTTGTAGGAAGAGGAGCACCTGTACTAACTGGAAGGGGACGAGGGATGGACACAAGAACAGGAAAAAACAGACCTTCTCCAGGCCCGGTGGTGATGTTGGCCTCCACCTCCGGCCCGTAAGCGAAGGTCTTGGCCCGGATGCGGAAGTTATAGGTCACCCCGTCGGCCAGGTCCTTGATCTTCATCCACAGGGGGGCGCTCCCCTTCACGTCCACTGTCACGATCTTACTGACGCCTGGGGGGGAGGGGGAGTGAAGACAGGAGTCGGCACAGGCCACTGAGGACTCTAGATAAACATACTGCATTTAGAGTCGGTCCCATTCATTTAGGATTGCACAGTCATGCATGCACATGTATTACACAACATTACACAATAACCAGGACACCACAATATCCTCATATTTTAAAATGTTCAATTCATCATCCCTCCAAGAAACTACAGGAAATTCTACAGAGTGATGGCTGAGTGAAGCGTATCTACAGCTGGACTGCTTTTTCAACCGAGCTGCCACAACCCCAGTATTCAGTACTAATCTCTACACAAGCTGGCTCAGTGTGGGCCTCCTGGGCTATTTCATTTGAAAGGGAGATCTAGTTTTTGCAGATCTGCTGGCCAGAATTTCTAATATGCAGAGATGCAAACGCAATGAATCTTGAAGTCTGCACTTTTTAAAGCCACACTCCTCCGGCATTTCTCCCACTTAGCATACTGTATGTCCTCCACTTCTGCTTCACATCAGTTTCACAAGCCTGGAAAACCCCTCAGGTTGGAGGAGTCAGTTCTCCCTTCCATGGGAAATTATTAAGACAGTATATTAACTCTGGCACATCCCATGAGATACAAGAGCATCTTTTCCCTTGAACTTTGGGACACAGAAGGGCTAAGTAGGCAATAACAGCTGCTAATAAAACAGGTCAACTGCTGTAAAAGAAAAGGTCAATTTGACATATTATCTTACATCCTGTGTCCCCTGAGATATGCTTTAATTGATTCAGAATGGTTGCTCAGCAAGAGGCTAGTAGACCTCACAGAATGCCTGAGTGGTACCAGTGTCTGGGCTACAGAAAGCTCCTCGGTGAAAATAAGACTTGTGATAATTACACTGAGCTGGGGAAAGTGCTTCTGTTCCGAAGTTCACACCATCTGTGCCTTCTGGCGCCCAGAACAAGACTTGAAACTGTACACTCAGTTGACCATATGTACAGCAGAGAGTGGCCCCTTTACACTAAAGCCAAAATTTCTATGTGGTTCCTTAAAGGAAAAAAAAAGCACCAGCTCTAACGCAGCTATAATGGGAAGGTGGAACATACCATCTACTGGCGTGCAGGGTTCATAGATGAGCCGGTATCCCTCAATAATGCCATTTGGGTGGACAGGTTCCCCCCAAGACACGTTGACTGAGGTAGTGGTCAGTTCACTGAAGTGGATGAAACTTGGAGCGCTGGGGGCTAAATCAGAGGTTTGTTAGAGACAGCGCCTCAGAGAGACTCTTCTAAATTATGAGCAAAGTCATTGAGGACAGACCTTGCTGTCATGCTGCCAAATGCACCATGCAAGGCATTTTCTACGGAAAGAACAAAAACTTCTCAGCACAAACAAGACATCCAAGGCTTCTGTAATCTCAGGTGCAGGTCCGTAAAATCGATAGGCAGTTGAATTTGAAAATGTCTAAATGGCTGTCTGTGACAGCGCTTCATGGAAAGGGCTTAGACAGGGAGGATGGGGCAGAGTTTGAAAACTCCGAGACAGCAGAAGAGCCAGGGAAGACAGCAGTCGTGTGTTACATCACGGACAGTGTCAGCGCGGAGAGCCGGGGAGAGACACAGAGAAGAGCACAGCAGCACTAAATCAAATGGGAGAGGGCCAAGACCCCAGCTAGCGTTTCCCTTTCACAGATTCAGCCAGGCCACACAGTGCAGGATTGTTTGTGAGAGCGGAAAGGGGAAAAGTGTTTCTAAAAAATCTGCTGTGTTTTCGCGAGCGGCGAGGCGGCTCTCTGCGTCCCAGAACACAGGCCCCATTGTAAGGGCTGGCCCAGAACCTGCCACCCGCCATCTTCCCCTCTCCTCCGCAAGACTGTCAGAAACTTCCGTGTCTCCGGCTGCTCCGCGCAGACGTGCCAACAAAACTCCAGCAATAGTCTTCCCAGGATCCCCCCCCTCCTCGCTCTCTACTTCATCCCGTCCGGAAGCCGTTTCAGAAGTGGAAATCAGAAACACATTGCTCCCAAACTGCGAAGTGGGGCTTTGTTTTCACTTGGGGCAAAAAACAAACCATTTATGTTCTTAGCTCATCCTGCAAACACTGTAAATTAAAGTCTACAGAAACCTCCAAATTTAAGGGGTACAGTATGTTGTAATGCGATGGATGAAGCAGCTATAAACACACGAGCGTCTAAGGCAAACAGCAGTGCTGACTACACCTATAACAAATGGGGAAATTCTTTAACTGACACAGCTGTGCAGTGGTCAGTATTGCTACTTTTCTGCGCTGGGGCCCTGGGTTCAATTCTGGACCTAGGGCGCTAACTGTGTGGAGTATGTTCTCCCAGTGTTGGCCTGGGTTTCCTTTGGCTGCTCTGGTTTCCTCCCACAGTCCAAAGACTCATGTTAAGTGAATAATGTAGTTAAGTTCATAATAAGTTAAGTTAATGGCAGGTTAATTGGGTTCTGGGAAAACTGGCGCAGGTGTGAGTGTGCGCATGTCTATGTCCGTGTCTGCCCTGTGATGGACAGGCGTCCGGTCCAGACTGTCCCCTGCCTTGGTGCCTTGCTTGCCAGGATTGACTCTAGCTCCCCAGTGACCCTGAATTGGATAAAGCAGTTAAAAAATGGACGGATGAGTTCTTCGACTGGCCAGACATCCCTTTCATAATGTACAAATCTGGACACGAAATAATATTCTCATAATAATACATTTACAGGTACTCTCCCCACACACCAGCTCTCAGTGGGGAGGAGAACAGGGTGATGAAGGCAGTTCAGAGATGGGGATTATTAGGAGGCCATGATTGGTAAAGGCCAATGGGACATTTGGTCAGGACACTGTGGATAACACCCTTTAAGGTTCTTATTGTTGTTCATTTTCTTTTCCTTCCGGGTTTTGATAAGCCCTGAGCAGTTTATGCACTCCACTCCCTCACCTGCCTGCTGAGTGCGCCCCCTGGTGGCGGGGCTGCGGGGGCCATCCCCCGCTGCATTGAAGGCCGCCACGCTGATCATGTAGGTGGTGTAGCCCGTCAGGTTCTTCAGCTTCACCCCTCCTTCGGGAAGGAACAGAGTCCGGAGCCGCTCCGTCTGATTCTGCCGCTGGAACTCCCAGAAATAGATCTGGAGCAGGAGAGCAGGTTGGTGGGGGAGAGGACCCGAAGAGTCAGCTGCCGACTGACACCAGAACAGCCCTGAGCTTTCACAGCTCTGCAGCCCAGGAGTGGCAATCCCAGGTTTTGCTTAATAAGGTACTGATTAAAATACCAACCCCTTTCCCATCTTCCACTGCAAGGCTGGGTAACACACACCATATTTTGAGACAAAACGAACAAATTGCAGGTTTTTACATAGAACAGAATAATACCTTATATCCCTGGATGTCACCATTCTGAGCCTCCAGAGGGGGCGGGTCCCAGGTGACATCGAGCTGTGTGGCAGTTGCTGATTGGATAGCCACATTCTGGGGCGGGGCAGTAGGAACTGAAAAAAAGGCATCATGGGTTTGATAATTCTGTACTCCCTGGAAATCTATCACTTCTGTGCACTGCAACCATCCCTAGAAACTTCCACATATGAGTAGAGGTAAGTCAAGCATAGCAAAAAGGTCAGAGGTATTCTGCAAGATCCAGCATTGAAAGCATGGAATTGGTGGCTTTTTATATAAGGGAAGATTTTTATGAATCATAACAACATTTAGTGAAGAAACTGTAATCAATATACAAATGCATTAAATTCTTATATTAAAACATACAACATAGCTCTTAATGAAAAAACACTGAGAAATGTCTATTTAATACTTTATTGAAATATAATAATAAAAATAATAAATGTCTATATACTATTAAGAACGTAAGTGTCTGGAGAGAATGGATTCTCATTTTATGTTAAACTTAACAAAATCCACAACAGTTCAGGCTTGGAGCTAGAATCTGACAACTACCTAAAGCAGACATGATCTTTAACAATAGTATTATGTTTATGAAACTCGTCATCATCTTCATTAGACACTAAATGTCATGTTCAGTTCAATATCGAGAACACGTGACACATAGAACAAGCAGCAGAATGGGCCCAAGCAGTCAGTGTTGTGTCTGTGCCGGTCAGACTGTAGGAGAGTCACCGATGACATCACACCGGAGCAGACAGGATATCGTAGCTCCTACCACTCACCCGCCTCTCCCACAAACACTTCCTGTGGTGCGCTGGTGGGCCCCTCCCCCACGGCGTTGTAGACACTCAGACGGATCTCATAGCGCTTGTGTTTGCTCAGGTCTGCGGGACACAACACAGCAACACCCTCAGCCACAGCACAGCAAGCCAGCTCTTCTCTCCATTTCCTTTTAGATGTTAGGAACTCCCAAACCTGACTGCAATATTTTGCCACTACATTGTAACTGATTTCCCATTCTGTTCTTATAATCGGGCGAGTTTGCGTAGGAAAAATGTATCATAACATAACTGCACTAGCTAGGAACATAAATCCTCTTCCTACCCCCATGCCACTTAAACAGTGCAGAAATCCGTAGAAAAAGGAAAATGTTTTACAAAATAATGACGTCAACAGAAACATCTTGCCCCACTGACAGTTTTATTTCTAGGGCCTTGTATTTTGACATCATAAAATTAACTGATATGATTTTTACATTTAAATAGATTGGCCTTGTGGTGGTGACACACAGTGCAGACTCCGTTGTACTTTACAGGTGCTGACAGCAAAAGCACCATGTCTGTCACTGACAAGTCACTGTGTTACCAAAGAGCTTGGCTGACTAATAACCACCTGACCCTGGCAGTGAGTGTGCCGCCAACCTGTGATTTCTTGCAATTAGGGAATTATTTTCCCAGTCGGGAAACACTAACCACTTCAAACATTAACAACAAAATAGAAAAAAACGAACACCAAGTCAACAAAATAGAAAAACCACACCTGTAACTTCAAACAGTCTATCAGAAGAAAACGAAAAGGAACCAGCTGTGGGGTCAGGGGGTGGGCGGGTCACCTTAGCCGTGAAGACACGAGTCAAAACGTGTTCATTGCCAACTGGCGCCTTTTAACCTTCCTACCACTGAAAGAGTAGACAATGAATGTGGGAGGACTTACTGTCCAGCTCGTATTGGGTGAGGGAGGACTCTGTCAGGTTCCTCACGCTGTAGGGCGCTGTGTGGGGCATGGGGGAGGGTTGGGGGGCAGCAGTGAGAGAGAGGGAGAGACAGAGGTTAGTGAGTTAGTTCACACCACATTCAGCTGGAGCAGCGCTGCTCCAACCAGTGCAATGATCAGGGCTGATTTTAAAGCAGAGGTTAAGAAAAACAACACAGAACAAGTCCGAAACACAAAACAGGGAACACTGTACAAGGGTACTGACTGCCTGGGCTCCACAGCACGGTGTCAGTCACAGCCAGGGGGTTATAGGGAGTCACTGTAGAGGAGATTGGGTTACGTTTTCATTCAGTTTCAGCAGTAATTCAGACTTTCACTCAGAGCTGAGACTCAGGAAGGTTTAGAATTTGAGCCCAAGGTTTGGTATGAAAACAAACACACAACCAGAGAGATGATGACTACAAATAAAACACAAACTGCCCCTCCACCCCCACCCCAGGAACTGAAAACGCACACACCTGAAGCAAAGAAAATGACACTTCATCCAAAGACTCCCACCCTCACAAAGAAAGTGTCAAAGAAGGCAGGAGAAGAGGTATAGACAGGTATAGAAGAGCTAAGAAAAGAGTATGTCAGGGGTCGCCATCCCTGCTTCTGGAGAGCCTGATACAGTAAGTGTTACAGTCGTCATCTGTTGGCAAGATCTGTAAGCTGCTGATGAATCCAGCACGTAAGCTGTTCTTCTGTCCTTAAGGGCTGAAGAGTTCTTTGATTTCTGTCCTACATTACTTTATTGATCATATTCGTGCACAAGATAAACGGGTCAACACGCCGGACGGGAAAGCCCGGCAAGCGAGCCGGACCCCAGAGGAGAGGGAGCAGGCCGCACTCACAGGTCAGCTCGGCCCAGGTGGCCGTGGGGCCGTTGAAGGTGCGCACGGTGAAGCTGCGGAGCCGCTCGTACAGCAGCTCGCGGTAGTGGATCCGGAAGCCCAGGAGGATGCCGTTGATGTGCTCCTCCGAGGGGGGCTGGGGGGGGGGGAGAGGGGAGGACAGGGGTCAAGGAGTGAGTGACATCCCGAGAAGAGTTGACTCTACGGCAGGCCTCTGCGAAACCGTGCTCTAAATACAATCATTCTCGAGAACGAAGATCAAGTAGGAACCAACTAACCTCTTCTGTTAACATAAATGTCTGGACAAAGACATATATTTAAACACAGAATGTTACACAGTATAGGAATATTTTGGTCGCGAATCACAGGATGCTTTACCTAATGTCCAGCCGCCTGAGAAAAAGTCAGCTAAACATTTAAAATGGTTACAGCAAACAACAGGTCTGCCTGCCTGAATTCTTAAACGTGATCGCGTACCCCATCTAAAGTTCAGAAGACATCCGTTTGATTAGCAGGTATATTAAACTGCAAGATCTGTAGGTGCAGGGATAGAGTCCCCAGAATTAACTCCAATGGGTTTCTTAAGTGAAATAACTTGGCAAGCGAAGGTGTTGCAGTTAGAGCTTAGCTTCAACATTTGGCTTGTTACCTGCCAGCGAATCAGCACAGATGTCGTGGTGTGAGGTGTAACAGAGAGGATTACAGGAGCCGCGTCCGGGGCTAAACAGGAAAGGAGACAGGAACAGTTCAGCGTGTGAATCAGCGGTCGGCCCATGGGAATTTCTAGCACGGTCTATCACGTGTTACACACAAATAACTTTACTTAGGGCTGTAGAAGAGGGTAAAACCCAGGAATGAGGGAAACATACTTGTTTCTTGTGAGCATCATAATCAGGTAAACTGGTTTTATGGATCTTCTGTATAGATAACATACTTTTGACTTGATTTGTTCTTTGTTCCAAAGCAATCACAGATATGTTCTGACATGATTCAGTTAAAAAGCCTCAAGGACACAAGATATTTATCAGTGTTTGACGCAGATCAAAATCCTTTGTAAAGATTTTGTAAAGGACATTAGCATTTACATCCAGGGGTTTGTGTACACACTTGTACACATGAGGTAAAGACAAGGAAGATGGGCAGAATTCAGGTGGAACAGTGTGACAGGTCAGGTGTTAGGTCCATGGCCAAAAATGAAAGGGGACACAGTAGAACAAGATTCTTTAATCTCCTGATTAAATCTCCTGAGTGGGATGAGGGGTCAATATCCTCACCGTCCTGCAGTGTGGTGATGGCTTCACTCTCTTCGCTGTACTCGCTATCTCCAATATCATTGGTCGCTTTGACTCTGAACTGGTAGGAAGTGAAGGGCTTCAGTCTGTCAAGGAGGAAGGACAATTGAATACACTCCATCCGATCTGCAGGCTTGACGCAGCTGGTTCAGTTGGGTTCAATCGTGAGAAATACGTATCAATTCTTCATTGATAAGCAATCCCAGAGCTAATAATGAGTGACAAGAGGTATACTGTACGTGTATGGGCTGCTCTTACCTGTTCACAATGTAAGAGGTTGCCTCGTGGCTGACAGAGGCTGAGTGGACAGTCCAGTTCTTGTTAGGGAGCTCTCTCAACTGGACCGTGTAATATCGAACGGGAGAGAGCCCATCGCTGCCTGGTTCCCATGACAACAGCACACTGCGGGCCTGCACGTTTTCCTGCTGGACTGTTGGCCTGCTGGTGGGCTGGGGCCGGGCTGAGAGGGAGAGAGGGGTGGTTACTATGACAGCAGAACTACACAAGGCCCAGTGCCTAGCCCAGTCCCTGGACACACAAATACCCTGCATTGCTGGTCCAGTCAAAGCAGGCTTTCCATCCAAATCAATAAATTCTAACAGCCCATTGAATTACGGGTACTATGCTATTTTAGTTGTTTTTTTTCTGTGCTGTGGCTTGACCATGAATAACAATAAGGGGATAGAAAATAAATGGATGTTCAGCGGCCTAAATGGATCTTTGCTTGTGATTATTGTATGTTTTAGAGATTAGCCATTTAAGTTGAAGTCATTCACTTTAAAGGTCTATAAGAAAACACTTGAAAACACCTCTTCCAGAGCTCTCAGTGATAGAACAAATTATGTATGAAAGTAGGAGGTGTGTGCATTAGAGGTCGTAGGAAACAAGCCTATTTCATGTACTGTAGTAAAGACTCATTTTAATTTTCTACAAAAAACGCACAATTGCTGATATGTCAGACAGGCTCTTCAGACAGGGTTTTAGGGGTACCTCTCTTCTCTGTGGTGACCACCAGGGCCTCAGCCACTTCCCCCCAGCCTTTCCTTGTCTGTGCTGTTATGCGGAACACATACACAGACTCGGGTTTCAGTCCGGTCACAGTAAACTGTCGAGTGCTGGGGTTCAGCACTTCCACGGTGGCTGTGTTACTGCTGGTAGAGTTCAGGCGGTAAGTGATCTGGTACGCTAGGAGGGAACAGGAGATGGACATGGTTTCAGTGACATGACACAAGGCCAGATGGCTCTCTCGGGACCTCTACCAGTACCCACACTGGAAACTCACCAAGAATGATGCCGTTAGGCTGGGCGGGCGATTGCCAGATGAGCCTGACAGAGTTTGTCCGCACCTCAGGGAAGAGAATACCCACTGGGGGTCCGGGCACTGAAAGGAAAACGGGAGGTTCACTTCCTTGTGGAAAGGGAGTTTATTTCAGATTAAGATTCAATGGAAAAAAAAACACTACTGTTGTGGATTACTGAAAAACGTTTTGTGCTGGATGTTTAACAGCTCACTTTAAGGATGGACAAGCTCAATCAACAACTTCTCTAGTGATCTTGTCAGATCTGTCGAATGGCACTTTTGCTTCTCAGTATGTAAAACCTGCAGAGCATTTCACTATAACTGGCAGGCGTTCTGTGTGTACCATCATCCAGGGTCCTCTCCAGGATTGGGGGTTTGCTGGGGACCCCATCTCCGATCCGGGTGAACGCCAGCACCTGAATCTGGTACAGGACATACTTCCCCAGGCCCGTAAGCTGGACACTTTGTGTGGCATTGCCCTCTACTGTCCAGAACCGCAGGGGTGAATCTGAGTCTTTCTCCTTGTACACCACCTGAGACCGAGAGAGAGAGAGTCACAGCAGTGCATAACACACTCCTCAGCCCCAAGGCAGCTGGTGTTTGTGAAACACATAATTATTCTTGCAAGTCTTGGCTGATTTCTGTCTTAGAGGCTCATACTGATAAATGATGCATGTATAACTGTCCATTTCCAAACCGGAGATGTGAGCTGTGAGCTGTGTCATCACCCCAAACCAGTTAATTCTCAGGCAGCATCTGATTACCAAAGTAAAGGCTATATTCAGAAACTCTAGCTATGATTTCACCTGTCTGCTCTCTTAATTAAAACCATGGTGTCATGCAAATGATTTTCTGTTGCTCATTTAAGAATCCCTTAAGGCTGTTTACACCTCTCTTTTTAAATTTGCAACCTTTTTTTTCCCTCATTTTCAAAACTTATCATGTGGCAATGTTTTTGTATAAAGGGAACCCTGAATTTTAGGAGAATCCGGGTCCCAGCTGAGAAGAGGAATGAGGCTCATGGTTTGGTGCCGCACCTTGTATCCAAGAATGAGCCCATTCCGGTCCGGCTCAGGAACCTCGTGCCAGCGGATCAGGATGCTGCTGGAGGTGGTGGCGAAGGCGGTGATGTTGGTTGGGCCGCAGGAGGGGACTGTGGGAAAGCGGAAGGAGAACGAAAGGTCTGATGAGGGAATGAGGGAAAAAAATCGCCTTTGTCTAAACACACAGAATACGCTCGCTCTGCCAGCTGATGTGATTAATAGCGTCAATGTTGTAAACCTCAAAACTGCTCTCAATGGATTCAGCGGGAATAACCCGGAGGCTCGTAACGTGTGGAGGAGTGGTCGGGCCTGTGGGCTTGTAATTGAAAGGTTGAGGGTTCAATTCCGGGGTGTGGCTGCTTCCTTGAGGACAGCACTTCACTCAGATTGCTCCAGTAAATCACTCAACTGTATGATTGGGAGCAAATCAAAGTCACTTTGAATTAAAGCTTCAGCAAAACAAATCCATAATAATTTTCCATGAAGACATTCTGTGCTCCCTTGCACTGAGGAAAGCATATGTTAAGACCCTCTAATGGGCTGTTCCTCTACCTTTTTATGCAAAGGGAAAAAATATTTTAATTCTCGGCCAACATAAGAGGGGAGACCTGTGCATGTACAACCAGCATAACCTTGAGGCAATGAGGCCTGACAATCAGCCTAAGAGCAGGTTTAATAATTGAGCTGACCACCTGCTGTTTGGTTCCACACATACAGGGCAAACACAGATTCATGAAAATAAAAACGCCAAGAGCAGGCAACGTCCTCCTACACGAAACCAGTAGCCTTGGGGAATTTATCCAAAATAGTAGAACAGCACACAAAACCCTCATATATCCCATGTGTTCCCCATTTCCTGTTCCCTTCCCTGTAATCTGGTCACCATGGACACCAGACAAGCCAGACAGGAGACAGTGGATCCGCTCCAGAGCAAAGATTTGGAGAACAGAAAAAAATACAAGCTCTATAAGACAAGAGCAAAGCTTCTTTTCCAAATGTGCAGTAGTGAATTCTTCATTGTTTTTAACCAGCTGAACTTGGAACTGTCTGGCTTTCATCGGCAGAGATCAAACCATTCTGCTTTCCTCTTCAAACTTTCAGTCTGGCACAGCTGTGATTGTGAGTACAGACAAAAGAGCCTATGGAGAGCAGTTTCCGTTCAGCAAGATGGTTCAACATTTGGGTAGGTGGGCGAGGAAACTATCATTGAATCCACATTGTCACGGCTTCAGACAAAAAGCTGAATGGAGACCATGTGTAAGATTTATATCAAACTGATTTTAAACACCACATATCCTGTCAGACAGCCTACAAGTTTAGTGTTAACAAAAAAATTGAGACATAAAAGAAAATTAAAAATAGTGCAAACAGATTCAGGGCAGAACGATGTTTTACGAGATAAACTGTCCCATTAAATCGTAAACTGTAAATAAAAGTAAATGCTAAAAATAGTTTCAAAGAGTAATGTCTTTTCACAGTGCTGGGAATGAATGATAACCATCAGCAATACTTCAGTCTGGCTACAAAAACAGAGAGTCTATCAGGCTGAATACCACAGAGAAACCTCATATTTTAGAATAATTTTTATGAACTCACACACATGGCAGGTATATTATTTGATATGACTAATGCACAAGATCCCTGTCATTTACCATTGTTTGAATGAATACTCCTGCAGTAGAAATCCTTGTGTGTGTGTGTCTGTGTCTCATATCTAAAGGGCTGTAGTCAGCTAAGCTTTGAGTGGAAAGAGGTGGAAAGAGACCCCCTAAATATAAGAAGGGTTACAAATGGGAGGAGGCTACTTGGCCCATCTAGCAAATGGCCTATATGGCAATAAAACATAAGAGATGCTCCTATGGTCTCAGCCTTTAAATCAAGGCTCCAGACTTGTTTCTTTAGTTACTGCTTTTCTTAGCCTACAATCTCAGATCCACCACTAAGCATGCATGTGCTGACGACCTGTAACGTTAGAATGCTAATGATAAGACACAGACCCAGGAAACCTCTGCTACTTCACTCAGATAACCCTGATGACAGACTAAGGATAGCAGGATCTCAGCCCATTAGCTTTGCAGAGATTGTCCATGACTGACCATGATTAACGCAGCCCTAATACATCTGTTAGTGGGTCAGCGACCATCAAGCTGGGTATCCCCAGAGGTTTCGTTTCTCCCCGAGGGGGGTTTTCCCCTCCTCCAGGCCCACTCCTGGTCCTGCACAGGCAGCACTGTCAGCTGCTGTGTAATTCTGTGGCTTACTGTTGAGCAGGGCACTATATCAAATACACGCTCAAATTGTTTACCGGACTCCCGGGTTCTGCCGCGGACAGGCTGGCTCCAGGGCCCGGCGCCGATGCCATTGAGTGCCTGCACCCTCACTTCATACTCTGTCCACTCCTCGAGGTCCTCGATGGTGAACTCCCGCTCCAGCCGGTCCTGGATGACGTGGGTGAGCGCGCGGCCCTGCGCCCCCGTCCGTGAGTACTGCACCCTGTATCCCACGAACTCCGGGTTCCCGTTGTATTCCCACTCTGGCAGAGGCTGGGGACAGAGAAGGCCCAGTGAGAAACACACGACACAGCAAAGCAAAATCATGCGGGAGAATCTTACTCGCTAGGACCCTTTTATTAATTCTGATGCCTGGGTCTTTTACTGCAGGAATTCAGGACAAGAACCTCGCTCAAGGGTGCAACAGCAGCATCTCACCTGGGATCTGAACTCAAAATCTTCCAGTTACAACTTCAGAACCATAAAACCACCCCACACTGCAGTCCCAAAGCTGCCTTCAAGAAACAGGTTGCAGTAGTAGAAGTTTCTTTTGATTTTGTAGAGATCGGTGGTTATAATACTTAATAGCTTATACCACCATTGTTTCCTATATCCATTTAGGGGCCAAATAATTTTTAAAACAGGGGCCATGTATTTAAAGTTTTAAAAAATGTTAAACTGCTTGATTTCCATCTCAAATTCCACTTGCAACTGGATACCAGCCAGATGGATTGCTCTGACGCAGACCAAGGGACATCAGAGGAAGAGCGGTGAGACATCTACTGAAGGAGCTTACCACCCAGCGCAGCCACAGGCTGGTCTCGCTGGCTGTGCGCAGAGTGACGTTGGCGGGGGCGATGTCCGGGGGGGCCTGCAGGGTTTGGATCTTCCGGGAGGGCTGGCTGGGGGGGCTCGTGCCGACTATGTTCACCTGGCGCATTCGAAACCTGTTGGGGCAAGTGGGGGGAAGGGGGATGTGGAGATCTGACATCTGGCTTCTGGCATCATAACATCCTTCTACCTTCATAACTATCAAGTGATATCCAGCAAAACACTGACGTAGCATAACTGTAAACTGGACCACAGGGATCGCTCGTCGTGGGATACAATGAATTCATCACAACCATACTATCGTATACAATTCTGCTGTGCTGCAGTAATATTACAATAGGGCATCAGCTTCGTGTTGGATGTTGTATAATTAGCCAGTCCATGGAAAGCCACTCAGAATCTTTAGCTTCTAATAGTATGGGGTATAGTAAGGGTAGTGCACAGAACCTGACAAGACAAAGGTTTTTGAAGGAACCCATGCCTGTAAGGAGGTAACAAGTAAGCCCTCAAGAACTGTTTTACTGTTTTGTGCAGTCCCAGCTGGCCTAAGTTTCTCCAAGGCCTTTTGAGTGGAGATGTACTGTAACTAATGTATCCTACGCATGACTTAGCAACATGAAAGGGAACAGGGGTCTTAGGTAACTAGGGGTCTTGGTTAATTGTCCAAGGGTGACCTAACCGCTTAACTTTCTGACCTTGTTTACACCTTTTATGGTAACAAACAAAAATGTATGTTTTTGTATGGAAATTTTGCTCATCTTGTTGCTGTCCTTAGAAAAGTGAGTGAGAGACAAGCTTAACTTGTAAACTTTGTCTGTCCTCCTTTCTTTATTGCACTTTTCCAGTTTGATTTACCAGAGTCATGTTGTTTACTGAGAAAAGGGTCTAACATTTGCCAATACATTATATCACACAGCAGTCTCTTCACAGAACGCCAAGCAGAATCTAGGAAGAGACCTTTTCACTTTGCCCCCACTCACCTGTAGAAGGTATAGGGGTTGAGGTTGGGCACCTCCAGGGAGCGGGCGTCTGGTTCGTTGGGCACCTGATGGACCAGCACCCACTCCTCATTTTCACCAATCACCGTGATCTTCAGGAAGGAAACCAGACAGGCAGCTCAGGCGGGGTTATGAAAGCCTGCAGGATGGGTGCCGGTTCACCAGCACTGCAAAGGCGTTGCATGCTCACCTGTGCCTCCACCTGCCACCTGGAGATGGAGGTTTTGCCATCGTAGCCGGGCTTGAACTGCAGAGTGACAGAGCGGGGGCCGATGTTGGATATGGCCATGTTGGTCGGCGGGCCAGGCAGCTCTGTGGGAGGAGGAAAGTGTGATTGTGAGCGCAGCCCTGATGCCTATCACCCCGTCTGCTCAAGGTGCACAGCAGCATTATTGTGCCACTGCAGAGCATGCTGGGAGACAATGGCACGCCAAGAGTAAGTAACTGTCAACTTATCAGAGGCTATGAAGTAAAACATGCAAGCAATGGCGTATAGAATCATAATGGAAGCAGATAAAGATAGAATTGGTATTTGTCCCAGGAAATAGGTAGTGGTAAGATCTCATTAAAAAATATTTCCTTTTACATCAGCTGTAAGAAATCAAACCTGCAAGAACCAAAGAATGCACTTTCAAAGAACGTGTCTTTGCTCTGCACCCTTGCAGATGCACTTCAAGACAATCAAGGACTCAAGGAGTTCAAGCAGGAATTCCAGTTAGTGTTCCACAAGCTGTCTCTAAGTTATGTCCATTCAGTGGCCTCTCAATACTCTGCTCCATCTGTATCTAACATTCAAATTACATCAGTGCTCAGAGACTCGGTGCCAGACCTCAAGCCTGGGAGGCTGCAGTCTTGCAGATAAACATGAGGCTCCCTATTATGACTCATGCAGTACGTTAGCATTAAAGGTCCTGGGGAGCTTTATGTTGTATTCAATGTCACAAAAATACTCTTGTTTTTCTGCTGTCATTCACCACACAGAAAACTTTGATGTACAGCCGGACACAAGTTTCTGAACTCTGAATAAAACCCCCACGTTGAGCAGTGACTCTCAGATTATTGTGTTATACTGCCCTCTGGTGACTACCCCTTGTACTGCAGCAGAGTTTCCTCTATCCGCCCTGTAATTGCATCTTTTTCACATGACAGCCCTGCCTGAACAGTACATTCTATATTCATTGCCATAATGGGAGGAGAGGGCTCTAGTTTAGGAGACACATCTCATTATCTACAAAAGAACCAAGGGCTTGTGGAGAGGGCAAACCCAAGTCACATTCACACATCACCGGTTTGAATCTTGCACATTTGTCTAGCCTATCCATCTAAACTACTTGCGCAAAGCAGTTCGCTATAGACGTGAGCCCGTCACCTAGGAGTAGGAAAGCTGCAGAGCAAAAGCAGACAGCTAAGAACACAATCAGCAGGCAGGGAGATAAAAAACAAACAAACAGCAAATGGCAGACAGCTCCTCGTAAAAAGGATGACCAATTACAGGCAGTGCAGGGGTGAGAGAGATTCACGTCCTCAGCAATTACCACTCTAATTTCTGCTGCCGGTGCTCAGACTGATGTTTGTCATGCTTGTTAACCAGAAATCCCAAAAGGAGTTTCTGAAGTGACATACATCTCCAGGCTGCCTGTCAGGAAGCACAGTGTGGTGAGCTCTGCTACCCGTTAATGAAGCAGTGCACACATCAGTCCTTTCACCTGGGCAAACTGCCCACTCCTTAGTGGAAGAATTAGGTAGGCGGTCAGCTTGCAGTGTGCCCACAGTGTATCTGCCTACTTAGCAAGGTAAATAACCCAAATCAGAAGCACCAAGATAACCTCCTGGGCGGAGCGGTGTCTCTGTGGCTAAGGATCTGTGCCTGTGGCTGGAAGGTTGCCAGTTCAAATCCCGCGGCTGGCAGAGGAATCCTACTCTGTTGGGCCTCTGAGCAAGGCCCTTAACCCCAACTGCTCCAGGGGCGCTGTGCAATGGCTGACCCTGCGCTCTGACCCCAAGCTTCTCTCTCCCTGTCTGCTTGTCTCACGGAGAGCAAGATGGGGTATGAAATTGTATATGGCCAATAAAGTGATCTTATCTTATCTATGTACATAACCTGCACAAGAGAGAAGCATTACAACATCAAAGGTGGCAATGTTAGCTAGGTGTTTTGTTCAGGGCCAGAAGAGAAAAATCTTTCACGTACAGAAACTAATGACTGATTCTTCCCTCTTCCCTCTTAAAATGCGGTCCTCAGAAATGTTCTATCGGGAAGGACTATGCTGGCTGATGTTACATGGTGAGCAGCTCAAGGACACGAAGCCTGGGGCGACTGCGATGAGGGTCCCTCTTAACGCTCCCTCTTTTTCAGCAGAGAGCGACACACTGCAGAGCCACGTCAGACGCGCTCGCCTCCCTGACGATGCAGCCCCCCATGGTGCCCCTGAGGCCCCTGAGGCTGGTCGGGGGCCAGGACAGAGCGGGAGGATGGGCTGGGCAGCGGAAGGGCCGGAGGGGGGGGGGGGCAGCACTCACCTGGGGGGACACCGGAGGAGATGGTGGATGATGACAGCTGGCCCTGGCCTTTGGAGGTCATGGCAGCCACCTCGATGGTGTAGGTGGTGAGGGCAGTGAGGCCCGTCACCCGGTACTCCAGGGTGACGTTGGGCAGGTAGTGGGTGACCCGCGTGTTGGTGCGATTGTACTCCTCCCAGGAGATGCGGTACCCTACGGGAGAAAGACAAGGCATGTTCTATGACTTCTAAAAGGGTTATTCTAAATCGAGCTGAGCTCCCTCCTAAGCACTGTCAACATAAAGCATACAAACTATTAAATTAAACCAACACTGCTATTCCTTTATAGTACACTGTATATATATCTAAGCAGCATATAAACGTAAATATCTAAATATATAATATAAGTATATAATGTTGCACCTCTTTAAAGTAACTATGATGGATGCAATAATGTGCATATTTATAAAATTCCATAGTGGGAGTCCGAAAGGCACTTCAGAATGTCTTGCGATGTTGAGGGATGGTAATTGTATTTGGTGGAATGAGGTCACCAGACCACTTCCTGCTGGATGAGCACCAGTGCAAACCCCCCCCCCCACAAGCATGGTCTGTTCTGAGTTCAGAACCACCAGAACAACGCGGACTGGGCCGCACGTCCAGCCCGCCCTGTGGTCTGCAGCTCCTCATACTGGCGTTGGCTTTACGGACGGGAGGTCAACTTTGAAGTGGGACCCAAAGCAGCGTGTGGGCGTGCTGGACCAGCGGCTGACAGAAGAGGCGCCAGCCCCCCGTGAGACCTAGAGGGCGGAAGACTCTGTGGTGGCCCAGGACCCTGGAGAGGCGGAGCTCTGGGCTGTCTAGGGAGAGGGATCGGGACTGGATCCCAGCAGTGGCAGGGAGAGCTTGCCCTCAGTACCTGTCAGGATGCCGTTCTTCTCGTTGGGCTCCCTCCAGCTCACTTTCAGAGACGTGTCCAGGATCTCAGTGAAACTCAGGTGACCCACAGCGCCGGGAACTGGAGACACAAAAGAGCAGGTTCTTCACAGGAAGATAGGATAGGAACACATCTGAAATACGTCTCTTTTTACGCTGATGCAGGCAGAGCAGAATATTTATTTTGCACCTACACAAATATTTTATTTTCCATATCTCACACGTCACATGCCTTTAGATTTAGAATGAAATGGGATTTTTTTTAGAATCTCATCCTTTAACAGTACAAAAGCACAGAAAAAGGATGGAGTTGCAAATGTTTTCAATTACTCAAGGTTTTGTACTAAAATCCAATGGGATGAGTTTTTCCTTTCAAGTCAACTATGTTGACTATATTTAACTAGGCAAATGCAGTACCTTTTACTTTGAAGTGGGCAGCTAGCCTACAGGGAGAAGGGGGACCAAATGTTTCTTTTAGCAAACCCACACTAAATAAAATTCAAGAAGATAATGAGCATTGATTTGCTGATTATGACTTGGGCTGACTCTTTCAAGCCCAGTTTGAGCTGTGGGAGACTCACTGTCCTCGTGTGTGCGCAGGGCGTGGGAGGCACTGCGAGGGCCGTCTCCGGGCGTGGTGAAGCACAGGACTGAGCTGAAATACTCGGTGAACTTCTTCAGGCCTGTGATGTACCCCACATGGACATTGTCCTGGAAGTTGGGCCTCACAGTTACCACGGTAACCTCCTCCTCCTTGCCTGGTTCCCATGCCAACAGCTAAGGGTCGGGTAGCGGGAGGTAAATGGAGTTAAAAAACCACAAGAGGGGTTGAGAAACCTTTGGGATGCTATCGAGTCTCAACTTCCCAATTCTGACTGCAGAAATCAGCTGAAATCTGAACACCCAGCAAGTTCCTTTCTCCCATGGTAACCACGGTCTTGTCAATCTAGACAATTTCCCCATTATTTTACTGTTATTTCTTGTTTGGCAACCAAAAACAGCTCTACTCCATCTTTCAGTACCATTAAAATATAGTTTTTGCACAAGTTATAATTATTCAAATCAAAGGCAAATTTTACTGAGACTGAAAAACAAACACTATTCCTTTAGGACGTGTCTGTAGTGAAACATAATTTTAAGACAAGCGAAATAACTCAGCATTTACTGAGAATACTGTAATTGCAAACATATTGGAAATGTAAGTTAACATACTGAATTGGCAATTAAGCATTTAGTTAATTACTCCCCTGGCAACAGTGCTGTTTCTCTTCCTTGCAGAAACTTTGTGAAAGAATGATTTATTGGCACCAGGAGGCAGAGAATGTGAAAGGCATGCAGAGAGCCTGGAGCTCTGTAGCTTGTTCCATACTGCCGTGAGGATATTTCCTCAACAGTCAAACTGTGAGGCAGTGGATTTTAATGTCCCTGAAACTGGTACATTTTAAATTACCAGTGGGACCAGGCTAGGACATCAGCTCTAACTGGAAGTGGAAAGTGGAGCCACTCTGGCCGAAATATCTCGCACTGCTTTTACAAATCTCACCGTATAACATTTACAGTACCATAGACAGAGTTCAAGATTGTTACTTATCTTTATAAAGCTGATAGCATATAGGTGTCGTGCAAAATCCCAGACTTGCTTTGACACAATACAATGCTTTTAAAGTTCTGGAGTATTGCTGTGTAAAATTCAGCAGACGTTAAGAGAAATGGGGAAAGAAATCATTTCTGTGAGACGCAAATGGCATGTAGCACTAGGGGGAGCTGGGCCTGGCACTGAGGGGAAGGGAGGTGTGAAATCGGGGAGCAGCACCCACCTTGTAGCCCTGGTTGATGCCATTGATGAACTGTGGGCTCGGGGGGGTCCAGGTGAAGCGGACGGTGGTGGAGTTCACAGCCTCAGCCTGGACATTACCGGGAGGGACCGTCGGCACTGCCAACACGAGGGCAAAGACGATGTTCATGGCCTGTTTTTTTAAGGACACTCTCCAATCCCTTTCTGTTCGGTCCCAACCCAATGTGTACTCCTTCCCGACTTGGGATGTGAGTCACCCTCAGGAACAGGAGCAGGCGCTGTCTGATTCACGCGCTGATCGCCGCTTTGATTTCACTGATCAGTACAGGCCCAGGCAAGTGAACAACCACAACTGCCTTCCCCTGCGCTGGGCGGATTCTCCGCGTGATGGACTGCTTGCTGCTGATCACCTCAGACACACACCTATAGGGCAAAGCTCAGCGCTGTCCTGCAATATTGTGCCACCCGTCCTGAAAACTACTGGTATTGTTGTTAAGTTAAATCAAGCTATTAACTCAATAGCTTACACTCCATGTTCCTGATTAATGGAAAGGGGAAACATTTTAAGTGAAGTAAAAACATTATTGAAAGAATGGGAAGAGGCTGATATACTGTAAGTTCTGCAATCCAGTGTTTTCTAATTGTGGCAATTCTAAGAGAGATAACACCCGTCACAGATCCCTGTAAGCAGGAGATGAGGAGTCTGGATTTGGAGTGAGATATGAAACCACAAGTTGGATTATGAAGCTATCACATGGAAACAGTGCAGGTATTCACAGGCATCCCTACAGGGTGATGAGGTCCACAGATTGGAAGAAGACTTGATAAGGAATGAAGTCTTCGAACTGGTGGACAGAAGGAAGAGATAGTGTCGAGGGGGGTGGCACATGGGATTTCTGAAACACTGTGTGCAGAAAGGGCAGGAAAGGGGCATTACCTCCCTGCAGAGTCCACTCGGTCACTGTGTGGCTGTACACGCCCAGCCCGGCCCCGTTGTAGGCGGCCACCTCGATCTCGTAGTTGGTCCAGATGATGAGGTCCTCCAGCAGGAGGTTCGTCACGTCGGGGTTGGTGATGTTTTTAAACTGGTACTCTACTGGCAGCCCCGCCAGGCAGTACCTGTGGGGAAAGGAGTGGAGATAGAGGCCGGCGTCGTTAGACCCCCGACACAGGACAGGAGACCATTTCTAGATAATGGTTCACTCCATGGTGAAAGGTGAAAAAAAGAAACACAAACGTTTCGGCTACGGAACAACACACTCTATTACTTTCCTTACATTTCTAGATAATGACACTTTAATCACTTTTATTACTTGGTTTCCCTTGGGGAAGCCTGTTATTGAAACTGGCTTTAAATTAAAATGCGGAAACACAGATGCAGGGCAACAATAAGGAGCAGTCGTCCTGAAAGGGAAGGAGTGCAAGGAAAGAAGCATCCTTTGAGAGCTAAAGTGAGATCAGCTTGACACTCTTTTGGAGTGTGAGCATCTGCCAGTGGGTCTCAGCAGTGCTCCCTAAGACTGTGCTCCTGGTGGACACAATCAAAAACCCCACAAGGCCAAACACCAGTTCTCCGCCCCCCCCACGCCCACCCTCTCCATACCGGATGATGTAGCCCCGCAAGATGCCGTTCTGGTGGGTCTCCGGAGGAGGCTGCCACTGGATCATGATGGACTGGTTGGTGCGCCCACTGGCGATGACGTTCTGCGGGGGGGCGCTGGGGGGCTCCTCTGGGAGAGACAGCCTGCAGAGAGAGCGAGACAGAGAGAGAGGGGATGGAAGTGTGGTCCTGTAATACCATTCTCTTCATTAGCGCTGAAGGAGGTGGGGTGACCAGGGAGTTGACAGGGATCGCACCCAGGACAGATCAGTTCTGCATTCACGCCACCCCCAGTCCCTGATATTCACGCTTCCACACCTTTTAATTACAGCCAGACACTGAAAAGATGACAGAGGGACAGAGATTTTAGCAAGCGTAGGCCTCTTACTTCCATTAAAGAAGTCAGGAATTCAGAAATTGTAAGCAAATTATTTAAAACTTGTTGAAAAAATAATGAAACATTTACAATTATTTTCACATATTATTCACACATTTATGGCTATGTATGATATATTTGGAGCAGCTGGGAGTTCTCCCAGTTCTCACTGTCTCGTCTTACAGTTCTGAAACCCTGAAACTGCACACAGGGGAGAAAAAGGAGGAGCAGGCACCTCCGACCTGCTTGCTTTCAATCCACCTGTCCTTCAACATCGTCCTGATCACAGTGCGTCTCTCCCTGACTGCATTGCCAGCCTGCAGGGGGCGCTGTGTCCTCAAGAGCTCAGGGAACACTGGTTAACGCAACCCGGCACGCCAGTCCTGGGTACAATCATATACTGTAATGAATGACATGACTCAGACTCGAACCCGTGACACTTGCATCACAGAGCACCGAACACCACTTGGACGAGCACCACTCCAAAGGCCCCTAAAATTATTGCTTTATTTCGGATTCTTCTGGAAATTAACATTTTAAAGGCGTTTAGTGCTCCTTTGTGTTGAGGAGGTAGAGACTGTAGCAGCGTCAGAGAAACCGCCTTTTAAATCAGGACCATTTCCAGAATGGACTTGAAATCTACCATCTCAAATTAATTGAACTGTGAAGATTGAGCTTTCCTTCATGACCAACGAACTTGATTTGCTGTGGCATTTTGGTGCAAGATCTGTGACAAATTGTCCCCAAACACAGCAAAACAAGTTCAAAGGAAACAGTAGAAAATTAATTCCTTGACATTGTCACTGAGGAATCTGTGACTGGCTATAAAGACATCAGAATCGTTTTTTGTACTGAACTCATGTTGATGTAAAGCCATTGCTGGCAGCAGAGTATTTTATTAGGGATTTGAGTCCATTTGTAGATGACTCACTCAGAATAAAATCAAGCCTTTATTTTCTACCTGAGGTGACTCACTCTTGAAGACAGTGTTGAAACAGAAAGTCACTATAAACTGAGTCTGCTCTGTGTATCACAGCAGAGTTCTGCAAGTATAGATAAGCATTGGACAAATGAACTGAGACGGTCAGCTTAAATAAGATCCTAAATAAGAAATAAAATGATTGGATGCCCCCCTAAATATAACAATGCAGAGATTCCAGAAGATTCTTGCTGGAAAAGGATTTAACAGATTTATCTGGAAATAGTATAAAAAGCAGGGAAAGTGAGGGAACGGAACTGCTTGACATATTTCAAAATTACTCATACTGCAGTGGGCACAGAGACTTGTGAAATACTGTAGCTGTGTCTTCTCTATTTTCGGGGTCTTAATTACAGAAATGAGAAAAGGCTGCAGAAGGAGAATGTGACAATTTTCTCTTTATTAATACTGAGTTTCTGTCTGAGTACTCTTTGGGGTATGTGCCATTTTCACTCCTTGGTTTTGAATTTGAGTTATCATAAGGAAGCAAAAACAGAGTAGATGATTCATTTTTGTTCAGTAAAAAAAACTGCAACAGGTTAGTCTCTTTAGACCTCTCGTCTTTGGAAGTCATTTCCTGTCCAGAAGGTGGCAGTCTTGAGTAGTGACAGTGGTGCAATGCAACAGAGGGCTTCCAGCTCACCGGTCTGTTTCCTTGCTGAACTGCCCTTTCCCCACATCGTTGACGGCACAGATCCGGAATTGATAAGAGCGTGCAGGGATGAGCCCGCCTACTGTGACCATGTTGGACTCGGGTTCGATGTTCGCCAGCAGTACCGTCCAGGGTGCGTCTAGAAAAGACAAACCAGAGGAATTATGGAGGATGCTTGGTGTAAAACAACTACAGTTCAACATCCCCATGCCACCAGTTCTTCTGACTTCTAACTTCCTCCACTCACCCTCTAAACCATTCCTCTTTGGTACTTGTAAAGTTCTAGCCTGCTCCCCATAGTGTTCAATGCCACTTCTACTCCACTGATTCTCAGTATCAGCATCCCCTGTCTCCTCCCAGTTTCTTAAGCCACGCCCCTCATCCAATCAAGAGTTCTCGTCCTGTCCCCGCCCCCATGCATGGTCTCCGTTCCTGAGCCCCGCCCACCTTCAGACACTCACTGTTCTCAGACACCTCCAGGATGTAGCGGATCAGCGGGCTGTTCCCGTCAAAGGGTTTGGCCCAGGTCAGGTTGATGGCTCTCTTCTCTATCAAGCTCAGTGTCGCTACGGGGTTTTCCGGCGCATGAGGAAGCTGCCTATGAGAGAGAGTGGATGGGGGAGAGAAGGTGGAAGAGAGGGGACTCAGAAACCTTCCAGAGTACTGTGGCGCAGGCAGCGAGCCTCAGAGAGAGTGAAGGAAGCAGGGTTACTAACAGGATGGCAAGAGACGTAGTGAGAGTGGAAGGAGAACTAGCAGCAGGTGGGCTGGACAGAGAGGGAGGGCGAGGCTGACCTGACGCGGAGGTGGGCGCTGCGCGAGTCGTTGCCCCCCACGGAGGTGACGTGGCAGGTGTAGGTGCCGATGTCCCCCGACCAGGTCTGGGAGATGTGAAGGGTACCGTCGGGGTCCATGCGGATGCGGGGGACAGAATCGGGGTTGATGACGGAGCTTCCTTTCTCCCAAGTGTACCTGCAAGCACACACACACTGCCATCACCAGCACACACAGAGCCCACAGGGGATTGACGGATGGCTCTCGAACTACTACTGCAGCTGTCTCTAATGAAATACCGTCTCCAATGTCAGGGAATACTGCTGCAACAATATTTATTGAATCAGTAATAAAATGGACTTTTAATTATTTCCAGTCATAGATGAAAAGAATTCAAATAGAGATCATGCCAGCTGCCCTTTTCCTTCATCTAACAGCAGGGATGCATTCCTCTACACTAACTGGGAAGATGGCAGATTTAACAGAGTGCTGGCACAGATCAGTTCAAGCAGACCTTCGCTGCTGACAGAGAAGTTTTTAGTAGGCTCCAGTCAATCTATGCAACCTCACACGGGAAAGAGTTAAAACTTTTGGGGCTGTACCGCCCCTGACAGTCATTAGACTTCCCAGGGTGCTAATGTTTTTGATACCGGATGTCAACACCTCTGTCCGCACCTGCTCCGTGTGCATCCCTGCATTCCTGGTGTGCCTGACAGTACCTGACAGTAACACTTGGATCGTGAGTCACACCGCAAGTCAAGATGGCTTTGGTCCCCTTGATGACACTCTGGTCCTGGGGAGGGCTTGTAATCCGGGTTCGGGCTGAAAAAGCAAACAGGGAGGGAAGTGGGAACATCCTGGACAATTGAACCAAACTCCTGTCTCATCTGGGCACTGACAAACACCCACAGAACCTGTATGAAGAAAGTACAGCTTTGCAAAAAAAGCTTTGGAAACACAAACTGTAGTCGGCTCTACTTTTATTTATTCAATAACGATGAATTAATCGACGGAAAACATTTTTTTAATTTTGAAGAGGCAGTTGTTATCTCGGATCGCAATACCTACCCAATTGGGAATTATCAATTGTTTAGGTCTCCTGGATTTGAACTTGCATTGCAGACGAACTGTTCTGACACACCCACTTAGTGAGAGCTTGGGCAAGCCTGGTCAACGTTAAAGTCAGTGATTCTGATTGAAAATAGCATCATCTGTACCACAACATACATTTTGTGATTCAAAGACGTAATGGTGACCTCAGTACAGGAAGGAGAAAATGACATCACTTGTCTCCAAAGGTAAAATCAACTTTTATGAGCGGCCTTATCAAAAATAAAACCTAGATAGGGCAATGATGCCAGCAGTACTAATTAGGGTGGAAGAGCCACTTCACTGTATCCCGTTTCTTATGGATCTAAAAACAGTGCTAATCCTGAAAAGGTAAATGTGATGATAGCATTGAAACTTGCTCAGGGAGGTCCCACAAGATTCACTAAATACATCCTCTGACAATAACGTACTCTGGGTTTAGTTGTGACTATACCTTTCTGAGACATTTGAATCTGAGCATCTAAGACTGTTCTTTTTTCATAAGTAGGCATGTCATCTGTTTCTCAACTTTCTCCGTTCTGCCAGAATGTTTGGGAGCCTTTGGAGCGCTCAAAGTGAACAAGGCATTCTTGCGTTCCTCTTGCAGGTCCGCGTTTCAGGAATCAAAAATGGAGGAGAAAACATCCTGCTGGGGGCGCTAATGAGCGTGGGTGGGCTCTAACCCTTCCTGACCGGCTTTCCCCTCCCCCTCTTACCCCAGACGACGAGCTCGGCGGACGCTTCGTCGATGCCTCGGGAGTTGCTGGCCATGCAAGTGTAGGTGCCGGCGTCCGAGATGTGGGAGGGGCTGATGAGCAGGCTGCCGGACTCCAGCAGTGTGAACCGTGGAAGCTGGACCGAGCCGCTGGCCAGGATACGCTCTCCTGCACGGGAGGAGGGAAGAACAGTTACTTCCAAAGCTCTATCACCCTGCAGCTCCCAGCTGGCAGCCCACTGAATCTCAGCAGGTACGAGCCTGGCCTGTCCCTGAATGGGAGACCTCCTGGGAAAGCTTGGGTTGCTCCTGGAAGAGGTGTTAGTGGGGCCAGTAGGGGGCGCTCACCCTGTGGTCTGTATGGGTCCTAGTCATGGGGACACTATACAGTAAAAGAGGCACCATCCTTGGATGAGAGACAAAATTGAGGTGTTGACTCTTCATGGTCATTAAAAATTCCTGAAAAGAGTAGGGGTGTTAACTCTGTTGTCCTGGCCAAATTTCCCCCTGGCCTTTACTAGTCATGGCCTCCTAATAATCCCCATCTATGAACTGGCTTCATTACTCTGCTCTCCTCCCCTCTGAGAGCTGGTGTGCAGTGAGCGGACTGGCACACTGCCTGCTGTGCATCATCCAGGTTGTGCTACACACTGGTGGTGGTGGAGGGGAGACCCCATTACCTGTAAAGCACTTTGAGTGGGGTGTCCAGAATATTACACTATATAAGTGTAAGGAAGCATTATTTTCATCAGATTCATAAGAAGTCATTAGATAGATAGATGAGATAGAAAGAGGAAAAACAGTAAGAGCAGAAGAGCAGAAGCTGATAGAAAGGGGTGGAGGTTTAACTCATTTGACAGGCAGAAAGGTATATCACCCACCTTTCTGCCATGTGATGGCTGGGCGGGGGGCTCCCGAGGTCTCACAGTGCAGGATCACAGACATGCCATCGATCACGGTGCTGTCCGAGGGCCCCGCGGTGATGTTCGGGGCGATACCTGCCACAAAACACAGGCTGCTGAGGAAGAGACGTCCCGAACCAAGACAGGGAATTCCTGCTGGACACAATTCTGGGAAAACCGTCTTTCTGACCTCACTCTCCAACGGAATTTCAAGGTCAAAACTGGCTAATCTGTAACCCCCTCCGCCCCAAGGTCCGGACTTGGGTTTCGCTCTGTTGTTCGCTGCTGTACTGTGTTTGCACCACCCTGCCTCCTGTTGAAATGGGGCAGTAAGGTAATGTCATCGCGCAGCTTTTTTGCTTATAACTGGTGGCGAAGGCCTTCGAGGCTGACGGCAGTCTGGTCTCCACAAGAGCGAGGGATTCTGGCTGGAAACGCCTCACACAGGCAGCCCTGACTTCCCTACACCTGCAGATGAGGATGACTTCGTCAACCACTGCTAGACAGACCGAGGAAGGAAGAAGGAAGGGAGACGGTGGGCGTACTGGTGACAGCGAGGTAGGTGTTGGTCTGCACCTCCCCGGCAGGATTGCGGGCAAAGCACTGGAACATTCCGGTGTCATCCGGCAGGAGGCCGTTGACCTGTAGGCTGCCCCCACTTAAGACGCGGTACCGCAGGGTCTTCACGTGGCTGACGGGCACAGCGTCCTTGTACCACACGATCTCAGGCTGAGGCACGCCTGTAGACACAGGGGGACACAGTGGAGACGAGTCAGCTGTGTGGCTGAGGTCTTCCCCTCCTTTCTAAGGAAGGGCCTCGTTCAGTCTGTAAAGGGAAGTTCAGGAATATGAACAAGTGTTACCTTACTAAGATTTTCAGTAAACAGGGTATATTCCATTTTCTGTGAGGGAGGGACCATAATAACAAGAGCTGTTTTCTTGTAGCCACCAAATAAATTGATATACACAGCACTTTTCTTCATGGGAGTGATGGAAACAGGAGGTCCCAGAGAACTGTGAACTCATCTTGAGTTCGGTAACACAGTGTCTCCCTCTCTCACTCCGACCTTGGTGTCTGTGCGATGGGAAGGTTGTGTGTGTGTCTAACCCCTGGGCGGACGAATTCGAGGGGTGTCCAGGAGTCTCGGCTCACCTCTGGCCTGGCAGGGGATGTCCACCACTTTCTCCATTTCTGCAGTGATGTGTCTGTCTGGCTCCTTGACAAACTGAGGGGGCTCTGAGGGGGACCAAGAGTTAGGAAACAAGCCATTTCTGGGTTACAGTGGGTATTTGGAGGCGTCTGCAGTTATGTCTTGCTACCTGATCCCTGATTGCTGTATATCATGCAGCATGTACTGCCCTTCCAGTGATTCAATCAAAAAGAATTATTAGGACACAAAATAACCTTGGCCGAATGGACGAATGAAAAATGGTGCCAATGACAAGCAGTGTAACACAAAGCAAAAATAAATCTGAAAAGAACTCAGAAGGGCCTACTGTTGAAGTTAATCCAAGTAATTCTCATTCCCAGCTCTGGCATTACCCTGAGGGCATCAGCACCACATGCGTCACTGGTCTGGGCGGGCACAGGTACCTAGAACGTGCAGGTAGGCTCCGGCGCTGACCGAGGGCACACTGCTGCTGCGCAGGATGGCCTCACACTCGTAGAATCCTGCATCGCTGACCGCGGGGCTCAGGATGGTCAGCTGGCGGTTGAAGTCACTCAGGCCGCTGGTCACCAGGACACCGTCCTTCCGCCAGGAAATGCTCAGTTTGATAAGTGGCCTGCAGCAACAGGAGGGAACAGCGGTCAGGGCAGGAGCAGGCGGGCGCTGGGGAGAAGGGCTGACCAGCCGGCCAGCTGTGCCTTGCAGTGCCCGATCTCATCTAATTTTTCATTTCCCTCTGAGCCTCCGAGCGCTGACTTCCTGTTGCTCTGCCCATGGTGCGTGACAACACTGCTCCACGGTCCCTCACTTCCACTGAAACCCAGGCACAGACAAGGCCTGCTTCAATGCTGGCAGCGCAGAACTGAACTCACCCCGCAGTTAATAAGTTTTACTACAGGTGTTGCTGATACCCTGCAGAGGTGCAGACTTGACAGTCCAGTATTTGACTGTTCATTCTCTCAGTTAGGTTCTGCTCTGGAGGTGGGTGGAGGGGGGGGCGGGGGGTATCCTGACCTGGCATTGGCGACGCACTCCATGGTCACCTCAGAGGTCCCCGAGATCACGCTGGTGTTTCGTGGGGGGATGATGATGGTGGGGGCGATGGGGTCTGCGGGACCCCCCACATCTGTGCAGAGAGAGAGAGAAAGAAAGAAAGGAAAAAACAGATCAAGCTCAGAAAGCTCCGAATAACCAGACTGCAGGACCCAGTCTCCTACTTTGGTGATTCGGCTGAAGCTCTCAGCAGAACAGAAAGGCTGAAGCCCAGTACCCAGAGTGAGCAATTCCAAAACTATGCTGTTGCTTCACAGACATCCTCCGACACACCCTGGCCAGAGAGCCCCCAGCTTAACGTACTGCACTAACAACTCTGAATAAGATCGCAATCCCTGCTGCAGCTCTGCTTTGTGGTTCAATCTTCCACTTTTTAACTCCTGCATGACGCGGGAAGGCTCTCCACCCTCTCTTACAGCAAAACGTTCCTGGAATTTCATTTAAGAGTAAATCCTCTTTCACTGCTCCATTTTTACTTTCAGTCAGTGTGACGGGCCAAATTCTTATACACCGTGAAATGGGTTTCGGAGGCAATCTGTTGAAAATGACACGTGGTTTGTGGTTTAAAAAGCACTGACACAATTCAGCTTGGCTTGTGATCATCTAAGAATAAGACAAGAGTAATGACACAGCACAAGCCAGATGATGTTAAGCAACACTGAAAGCCCACTGTACTTCAAATATCTTTCAGTTTTTGGATCCTAAATGGTGATTTCTCCCACGCCCCTATCAGTACTATACTCCAGGACAAAATGAAAAGCACACCTACAGTACATGCGCGGGAGCAGATTGTAATACGTCTGTTATTCCTCCCTTGCAGGACGTGCGCTGTGAGCCAGCAGGGGGAGCTATTGCCTCTCAGCTCGCTCCACGGCTGCCCAAGGAAACCTGTTGCTTCGCCCGTTGAAAGCTGTAATTTTCCACGCAGTTAATAAAAGAATAAACTGCGATCTCAGAAACACAAGGACCCTGTACATGTTGCGAATACAGGAAAAGGTTTTGGAGAAAGTAAACATGAAGAATCACAGATTGGTAAGATGTAGTACTAGGCCTCTTTAAAAAATGAAAAGACCGAATGATCTGCCAAAAGAAACCCGTGTAATAAAGGGATAAAACATGAGAGAGGAAAGACTTTTTTAAAATCTACATTCCAATCAGAGTAGTTTAGTGGTATAGGGATTGGAAGAAGGAATGAAAATATCTGAGTCATGTTGCATGCACCTGTTGCAAAAACATACAGTGTATATTATGGATATAATCCTATTTATCCATCCATTGTCTAATCCCTTTAACCAATACAGGGTCACAGGGGAGACACAGCCTAGCACTCACTGGCCACAAATCAGAATACACCCTGGTTACTCCTGTCCACATAAGCTTGGAATATATATATATAATTAAATTACACTTAAGTTATGCAGCTTCATATTTGGTTTCATAATGTAACTACTTTTCTGGACATATTCCAGACGATCATGCATATTGGACCCCCCATTTACAGAATAATCACATCCCTACATCATCATTAGACAGCAGGCCCTGCTGCAGGTTAAGCTACTGTACCGATGTCTTTTTCTTCTGCCATGCTCTAAGATCAAGAGGAGGGGTGTCATTAATATTCCCGGCAGGCGCTAGTCCTGTGCGGGAGATGCACTCGCCTCGTACACACACTCGCACAGTGTCCCTTGCTTCGTCGGCCTCTCTGCCAGGGAGCACGGACCTCCCCACCGGCCCCTGCTCAGCGCCCCCTGCAGGCCATCTAGGCAGGACAAGCTGTGCTTCCACTTCCTTCAGCTAGATGCTCTGAATATCTACAGGCCCTGGACAGTCCTTAGCCCCCAGATGCTCAGCGCCTGTCCAGTGCTATCTGCCTGCCTGATGGAGGTCTTTCAGTCCTTAAGCCTGTTCCAGTGAAGGAATCCCCCGTAAGAACACAAATGAGAGGAGGCCCTCCTCTCTAGCCCCTGAGGTAGTTAGAAGTTAATTGATCCGAAGATTTCATCCAGTCGATTCTTGAAAGAAACCAGGGTAATGGCTTCGACTGCACGGCTCGGTAGCTTGTTCCATACTCCTCCAGCTCTTGGGGTAAGGAAATGGCTCTAATTTTTGGCTTTAAATGCACCTCCACATACAGTAGCTTCCACTTGTGTCCTCTGGTTCATTTTTTCACTGTTCCTTCAGAACAGAAGAATCCCCCCCAAAACCAGTGATCGCTTTGAATTCCCCTGCCATGGGAGCCTGGCTTTCTGTAATTCACTCCTCAGTGTGGCTTGGACCTGGGAGGAGCCTGAGAAGAAGTCACTGAACCCTAGCAGGGCGTGAGCTGCACATACTACACCTACAGCTCTCTCGCTGTTACTCTGTTCAGAATCTCCTGCACCTTTGGTCGCTGTACTGTAGCACATTCCAGTGTACTGCTAAGAGCATTGAGCTACAGCCTCTAATTCTGGGAAATAAATTCTTACTTTTCCATGTTTGTACTTCAGATGTAGTATAATTTAATTCTCTGGCTACATCTGTTGTACTTAACAGAATTCTCAGACATACCTAAATCTAAAGTGACATTATATTAAATCTGTTTTATCTGTGACAAAAGAATATGGTAATATTTGGGAAATGGCCTACAGATTTAAATTATCTATAACCAGTGGAAATTGTACCTTAAGACTGGGAGTTTCTTCATGTTCAGACAGGGAGCCGCTGCTGCTGAGGTGTCTGAAGGTTATTTAACGTTTTTCTGAGTCTCTTTTTTTAAAAAAAAAGCGTTCAGTATGAAGTATGTTGTGCAGGAAATCAGTGACTTGGTGACTCTGTATACAGACCACCTGCCCCGCTGACACAGGTAGACCCAGTGTTACACTTCCCTCCCCCTGCGCAGTGGGAACTCTGCTGGCACGAGCAGGAAGCAGCACTACAGAAAATGCAGGGGCTTGTATCTTAATCAGCGTTCAGCAGACACTAAAGCATCTGGCATCACCCTCTTGTCAGTTACATATCAAGATTAATAGACTGCGCAGGAATTATGGATGGATTTTATTAAGATGCTCCGCCCTTGGCATAATGGAAACCTAGCCCTGGAATCTGATTGTAGCAGTCATGTCAACTCGACTGATACCCAGTAGGGAGAGAGAGGGCGGAGCTGGCAGATTTTCCCATCATGCCCTTCTCTCTCACAGCCACATCACCCTGCAACTCACAACTGGTAAGGCCCATGAAACTCAGCAGGTGCGAGCCTGGTCAGTACCTGGATGGGAGACCCCCTCCGAAAATCTAAGGTTGCTGCTGGAAGAGGTGTTAGTGGGACCAGCAGGGGGCGCTCTTCCTGCAGACTGAGTGGGTCCTAATGCCCAGCATAGTGGCAGGAACACTATATTGTAAACAGGCACTGTCCTTTGGATGAGGCATAAAATCGAGGTCCTGACTCTCTGTGATCACATTTCTGTGATCACAGAAATGTAAGGAATTATTATTACCGTGTCACTCGTCTCAAGTCCTCCGTCTCCCATCTGCCTCGGACACAGCAGAGGTCACACTGTCTGCCTGCTCAAAACCGCCGAGAGGGAACCCGAGGCAATGAGGGGTGTTCGGTGATAACGACAATCCATAACCTGCCCTCGAGTAAATGTCCGAAGGGAAGGAATTTTGACAGGATGTGAACACTCCAGGCGCAAGCAGAGTTCTCATCTCCGTTCCGAGCTGAACTCCGAGTGAATAAAGGAGCCAAAGCAGAAGAGGAATCTCCTCAATGAAATCCAGGTAGTGGATAAGGAGATGGGAGCCTGTGGGTGAATACACACGCACCGAGCTGGCTGACACTCTCATGTTGAAAGCAGATCTCTTGACCAGGGCTCACATGCCCAGCTGTTCTCGGCATCTTCCCCACACTTCCGCTGGCAGCATCCTGGCATGGGGCTTCCCATAAATATCCCGCTGACATGGCAGGATACCAGTGCGCAAGAGGGAGTGAGCAGGGGTGAGAGGGAGGTTACAGGCCCTTCAGTACAGCCGATGGGAATCACATATCACTGCATTTGTACGCACTGCATGCTGGCTGCCCTACACTTATCACTGTCAGAAGGGCACGGCAACTGGGACTGGCCCAGATGGCCAACAATGGAGCTCCAGCAATGCATTCAACCACAGTTCTTTAATTAAAAACCACTTTGTTCCAAACAGCTCAAGAACTAGTGGTTTTGTGCAGAAAGACATAAAGAGAAAGAGACCAGTGTAAAATGCGTTTCCCTCTAATTCTGGCTGTAGTCAAATCCATACCAATGCAACACAAATTTGACACTGTTTTGCAGTTTGTTTTTAATCCAAATGGACTTTGAGTCTTTCCTATGCACAGATCACAGATCTCTTGCTTTTTCATATACTAGTCACATAACGATTTCAGTCAATAACAGACACTATTTTAAATTACTGACCAGGACACTGCTGGTCTAGTACCATGCTTGGTACTGAGATTAAAAGAAGGCAACAGCTGGGACCAAACTAGTTATTATATAGAAACTGAGCCACTTAGACACAATAAACATCCATTTGGGCTAACCTTGTCTCAGACAGCATACAGGGCTTAATGTACTGGATGACTTGTACGGATGGAGTTATTTCATTACTCTTAAAGCTACCAAATGGCCTTGGATCAGGGTTAGAATGCACATTTACGAGCAGCACTATCTGTGTGTGGCAGAATCCATTGTGTTCAAAGCTCTTTGAAAAAGAACTGCTCTATTTTTATGTTAGGAAGAACATGACCAGGAATGGAAACATTTGCCTGACAGCCCAGCTTGAGAATCGTCCCGAGGTTCCCCAACATTCTGGTCTAGCACCTGGTGTGTGTGTGTTAGTGGGGAAGGCTTTTTGTGAGTCTCCCTGTCTGGACAGACGACGCTAACCTGAACAAATGGCTTCCAGCGAACGAAACTACAAGGGATTCAATTATCTTCAAGCAAATCAGAGGTGTCCTGGTCTAATGAATGGCCTTGCAGAGAGCGGTGTTCTGCTCTGCCCGGCCGAAACGCTGAGTGGGAGACACCAGAGGACTCACCTTGAGAGGGGTTATGGAGAAGTGTACTGTATTAAAAGGCCATTTGAGTAAGCAGATACTTCTCCCCTCCCCCCCCCGCCACCCTCCCAAGCTCTTATACTGGAAAAACACCTGCGTGCAATCAGGCTTTTCTGTCCACTGAGGCTGAATAAATCCCAGAACTGTGAATCAACATGTCAGGGCTGGGGAGCTCGGAGATGGACTGTAGATTACACTGGGGCTGCAGCTTCTCCTGACTGCTGATGATCACGGGGGAGGGGTGAGAGGAGAAGGGGGCTTCATTTATCTTCTCTGGATTCCTCATCTTAAAATAGCGTTGTGCTGTTGGGTTGATGGGGGTTAGTGGGGGGTTGAAGATCCAATTGAGTGGTACGAATCTAAAAAATTTTGTGAAACAGCTGAGGCCCTCAAGTCTGACAGACCCCCAAAGTGCTTTTGAGGGGGCTTATTTCTCCACTTGTAATCACTGCAGTGGCCGGTCTTGCTGGTAATGACTACACAGCTGTAGACTGTTAAATAACAAAAGAGCTGAGAAGTTCTTCACACCGACCAGCAAGGTAATTGATAAGGGAGGTGTGTGTGTTCTGTAGCCAGCTGTCTCACTTAGTGAATCCTTATCTGGGCCACGAAATGCTTAAGAGGCACGTGTTGGAAAGATCTAAGACCACATTAAAAGGTAATGCTGTTCAAATAGGTCTAGCCTGAGCAAATGAAGTACAAGCTGTTGATGCAG